AAGTCGGGTGGGGGTTGAGGTGGGCTGGTGGGCAGAACACAGGTCCTTGGGGGGCCACAGTGAGGCACGAGGGGTTTGGTTTGGGCATCAGGCCTGTTTTGAATTTGTCCCTCTGTCAGGGAACAGGAGCGTCTCAGACTGGACCACAGTCAAGAGGCAGAAAAGACACTCAGGGTGGTGTGGCTGAAGCCTGGAAGGAGTTGAAGGACTGGCTGGGACACAGTACCTTGAGTTGCTCATCTGTGAAATGGGAGGGAGTCTAACTTTGTCTCATTAGGGCCTCGAGAGGGCAACAGGAGGCAGTTAGTACTCTTTTGGCATCAGAAATAGCAGTGCCAACTTAAAGGAGGAGTTGATTCTGACTCATGGTTTCAGAAGTTTCAGTCCATGGTTGGCTGGCTCTAAGGCACAAACATCAGGTAGAAGAGTGTGTCAAAGCAAAACTGCTCACCTCACAACAGCCAGAAAGCAAAGAGAAAGGGAAAGAAGCAGAGAGGAAGGAACTGGGGATCATATAGTCCCAAGGTCATGTTCCATGATCTACTCCCTTCACCTGTTCCCTAACCTCCCAATAATGCCATCAAATTGTGATCTCATCAGCGGATCAATCCACTGATGAAATTAGAGCCCCTGTGATCCAACCATTGCCCCAAAGCCCATTGGCCCATCAGCAGCCAAGCCTTCAACACAGTTAACCTTTTGGGGGGCATTTCGGATCCTAACCATAGCGAGGTGGAAAAGGGAGATGTGACCCAGGGCGCAGTGCTGGCTCTGCTTCTGAGCCGCCCATGAGGACATGCCCAGCAGCTGAGCAAGGGCTTGCTGGAGGGAGCAGGAGCTGGGCCAAGGGGGACTCAAATCCAGGTTCACCATCTCATCTGTGTGATGTTGGGTAAACTAGTGATCCTCTTGGGCTCAGGTTTCCTCATCTGTCAGATGAGGACAATATTCAGAGGGCTAAATGAAAGATCACACAGCTGGCACAGTACAGTCCACACTTGCCTGGCTTGGTGCTCTGAGATTCCCTCTGGGGAGATGAGAACTTCACCACCCCCTTTCACAGATGAGCAAATGGATGCTCAGAGAGGGCAAGTGACTTGCCCAAAGTCACCTAGTTCAAAAGTAGCAGGGCTCAGACAAGTTCGACCAATTTAGAAACATGCACCTCTCTCTCCATGCCCTTCCTGAAAGTCTTTTCTGCTATGGGAAAGAGGAGCGGAGCTGGTGCACTATGAAGGGCATGAGGAACTGTTTTGGGTTCTTGCAAACCTGTGCCTATGACCTCTTGGGTCCTGTGGCCTGGAGAAGACAAACTCTGGGCTCTTATTCTGCACCAGGCCCCACCTGAGATGCTCAACCTGGCTTTGCCCTCTAAGCCACAAGCACATGGGACAAGGACCATTTTCCAGGGTTATGAAAAGGCAGGGACTTGTCTGGGCTGGGAGCATGAGGATCTGGCCTTGGAGCTGGGTGGCCCCCCACCCCAAGCTCTGCAGCCCCCTTCCCTCAGGAGAAATGCCCCTTCCCTCTGTGGGACAGGACTCCCTGCTCTAATGCTGGTGGCTGTCAGAGCAACCAGCTTTTGGCCTCTGGCAGGAGGCAGCTCTGCTTCCCTGACCTGAGGGGAGGATGGGCTGGTTGACCTTGTAGGGCCTGGGTGGCACCAAGGCCACCAGGGTACTGTTCCATCTCCTCCCCCATCTCAGCTGACGGGTTACACCTCTCCTCCAGGAGCTGGGAGGGAAGGGGGTGGAGGCATCTGTCCTCAGATGTTGCCACTATTTTTGGAGCTTACATTGATCCTAATTCTGGAGCACGTGGGTGGGGCCAGGCTAAGAGCAGACCCCACTTGCATAACATCAGCCACTGATACCACCAGTTCTGACGTGGCACTTCTAGAGCTGGCCCAGACCCTTGCCCCCTTTAAGGTGGCTCGCAGCCAAGAGCCCCTTACGGCTATTTTCACTCAGCTCTGTCTCTCCAGACTGCAGAAGGAAGCAGCCCCAGCTCAGAGCCTATGTGGACCCTCGGTGGCTGGGGGGCCACCCTGGCCTGGGGTCTCTGGCATCAGGCCTTGGGGCCTCCCTGTGTGAAGGGCATAGTGTCATGGAACCCAGGTTAACTTTCTACACTTGGTGCCAAACCTAGCCTGAGACACACAGAGAAGCCCCTGTTGCCCCTTCTCCATGCCCACATCCCTCAGTTCTCATGTGGAGGAGGTACTGAGAGAACCTACCAATGGTCACATTGGAGTAGGTACTTAAGAACCTACCAATGGTCACACAGCTCATCACAGTGGGGCCAGGATTTGCACCCAGGCAGGGGGCTGAGTCTGTACTGCCACCCCACTCATTGTGGCTCATGAGGAGTACATTGCCAAGTATTTATATGTACACATGCATTTCAAATGTACTATGGTCGGGCTGGGGGCATTGCTCAGTGGTAGAACACATGCTTAGCATCCTTTGAAACACAAAAGTTTTAAATTTTGGTAATGTCTAGTTTATTTTTTCTTTTGTTTATGTTTTTTTTTTGGTACTGGAGATCAACTCAGGACTTTCTGCTTGTGAGGTTTGTGTATGCTTTTGGCATCATAACTCAAAACCTTTGACTAATTCAAGGTGATAAATATTTACTGCTGGGTGTGTTGGCTCATGACTAAAATCTCAGCAGTCAGAGGCTGAGGTAGGAGGATCTATGAGAGTTTGAAGACAGCTTGGGCTACAAATTGAGTTTGAACCTGGACCACATAGCAAAACCCTCTCTCAACAAACAATCAAAGACCCAGGCCAAGAGTCTCCATCTTTTGCAAAGCAGTACAATGCAAGGCAAAGGAAAGACGTGGAAACAAGACTTAAACAGAATGTGAGGAACTGGAATGGGCCACACCAAGTGTGTGGTGAGAACCCAACCAGGACTGTTGGTATTTATTGATGGCACAAGGATGGATAAAATAGGGTAGGGGGATACATGTGGCATCTGGTATATTGGCTGACACAGGCAAGGCTTGTAGAAAGAAAGATAAGGCATTCTTTTTTTTTTTTTGGTACCGGGGATTGGGGATTGAACTCGGGTCTTTGCCCTTGTGCAGCAGGCAGCGAAACCACTGAGCTAAATCCCGGGCCCAAAATAAGGCATTCTTGCAAAAAGAGCAGAGCAGACCAAAGGTAGGTCTTGGTTAACTAGTAAGCTACTGAAACAATTAAGGGAGGGGTATCTCAGGAATGGAATGTAGTTTGGAGCCACACTGGTCCTTGGCCACAATGTTATCTCACTTAGGAGCCCTGCAGTGTCACAGATCAGGATTTAGATCTCCATGGCAGCGGTTGGTTGGGAAGCTGCACTAGTCTGTGTGCCTATGAGTCACTGGCTTCAGTCTGTCTCTGAATGTAATGTGGCCAATTGTAAGGAAACAATGCTTGCTCCACATTACATCCCACTCTAAGCCTGGCCAGGGGAGTCTGCTACAATGAACAACAAAGATTTGCTCCTGTCGTTGGTTTCTGTTTGATTATTTGTTTTTTCCAGTGCTGGGAAGTGAACCAGGAATTTGCACCTGATGGGCAAATGCTTTACAGTTGAGCTACATCTGCAGCCCTGCTATGATTTTTATAAGATTTTATAGTTTTAGATCTTACCCCCAAGACTTTGTTCCATTTTGAGTTAATTTTTGTTTATGGCATGAAGTTGAAGCCATTTCCTTCCTTTGCATGTGAATTGTCCCAGTCCCATTTGTTGAAAGGTTATCCCTCCCCCACCCCATTTAGTTGTCTTGACCCTCTTGTCAAAAATCCAATTGACTGTAAATATCATGTTAATGTGAACTGTTATTTCTGGATTCTCAATTCTGCTTCACTGATCTATATGCCTGCTCTTCTATACACAACTGCCACACTGCTTTGATTACTGTAGCCTTGTAATATGGTTTGAAATTAGGAGGTGTGGATCTTCCAGTTTTCTTCTTCTTCTAGATTATTTTGGCTATTCTAGGTCCCTTCCATTTCCACATGAATTTTAGGACCTGCTTGTTAATTTCTGCAGACAAGTCAGTTGGGATGTGAATAGATTTCATTGAACCTGTAGACCATTTGGGGGAATGTTGTCATCTTAACAAGATTATGTCTTCCAATCCATTTATAGGGGAAGTCTTTCCATTTATTTAGGTCATCATTCATTTCTTTCATCAATGTTTTCTTATTTTCAGAGTATAAGTGTTGCACTTTTTAAAGATATTCCTAGGCATTTTTTGATGTTATTGTCAATGGAATTGGTATTTTAAAATTGCATTTTTTAGTGTGGTCATTGCTAGGATATAGAAACACAACTGATTTTAGATATTGATCTTGTATGTTGCAACCTTGCTGAACTTATTCATGAGTTCTAATCGTGCGCGCGTGTGTATGTGTGTGTGTGTGTGTGTGTGTGTGTATGTGTGTGTACATATACAGGATTTTCTATGTATAAGAGTATTCATCTGCAAACAGAAATAGTTTTCCCACTTTTCCAACTGGATTTTTATTTCTTGAGCTTGCCTAACTGCGGTGGCTTTTTTTTTTTTTTTTTTAAATCATGATGAGATGTTGGATTTCATCAAATGCTTCTTCTAGGAAGTGTCTTTTGTGGTATGGGGAATGAACCCAGGGCCTTTGTACTGAGCTACATCCCCAGCCCTTTTATTTTGAGACAGGATCTCACTAAGTTGCTAGGTTATTCAGATTGATGGTTCTCCTTCAGCCTTCCAGAGTGCTGAGACTACAGGCCTGTACTACCACGACCATCTGAGAAATCCTTTCTTTTAAAATGTAACAGCAGACCCCACCTTCCTTCTGAGGGTGAAAACTCTGATGCAGAGTCAAATGCGAAAGGCATTGAAATATTGGTGTTGCTGGTAAAAACAGCTGTGTTTGTGTCTGGGTGGGGCTGCTTTCCTGGGCTCTGCACAGGCCTCTCCTAGGGGGTAGCAGGAGGGCTGTGCTCATGGCCGCCTTCCCTCTGCCCAGGCCTACGAGAAGCGCTTCCCTACCTGCCCGCAGATCCCCGTGTTCCTGGGCAGCGAGGTCCTGCGCGAGTCCCGAAGCCCCGACGGGGCGGTGCACGTGGTGGAGCGGAGCTGCACGTTGCGCGTGGACGCCCCGCGACTGCTGCGGAAGGTGGGCAGTAGATTCGTGAGGAACGAGGTGTGGCGGGCTGGGGTGGGCTGGGCTGGGGTGGGTTGGAGGCTGCTGGAGCCCACCGCGGGGTCAGGGTTCTGGGGACCAGTGCCAAGCTGGGGTGCAGAAGTGGTGCCAAAGGCTGGGTGGTGGACATGCATGGGGTGTGAGTTGGGGAGGGTTCTGGGACCAGACTGGGCTGGGTGGGCAGCGGGAGGAGGAACCTGGGGCCAGGATCCAGGGGACCAGGCTGGTCCTTGGGGGTCCCATGCGTGTCTTTTCACGCCTGCTGTTCCCTCCCTTGCAGGTTGCGGGCGTGGAGCACGTGGTCTTCCTGCAGAAAAACGTCCTGAACTGGAGGGAAAGGACGCTGCACATCGAGGCGCACAACGAGACTTTCGCTAGCCGGGTGCTGGTCAATGAGAACTGCAGCTACACGGTGCTGTCCTCTCCCTGCTGTCCCTTTCCCCCTCCCCTGTCACTGTCAGGTAACATGCAGGATGCCCGGATGCATTTACAGTTCAGAACAACAACTGGTAATATTGTTGATTGTCTCTCAATACCGTTCTGGACATACTTACAGGAAAACTTTCTTCATTGCTCATCTGAAATTCGAACGTTCCAGGGCCTCTTGTATGTGCTTAAACCTGGCACCCTTCTCCTCTCTCTCCCTTTTCCCCTTCTTCTCTCCTTCCATCTTTCACTGTAAAGTGGTCATCATCAATCATGCCTACCACATATGTTGTGGTGAGCATTAACTCAAGTAAGATGTTCTTATCCAAACCCCTTAGGGGCCGGGGATTTAGCTCAGTGGTTTTGCTGCCTGCTGCACAAACGCAAGGACCCAAGTTCGATCCCCGGTACCCCCCCCCAAAAAAACCCCAAAAACCCCCCAGAACAAACCCCTTAGGCCAGTGCCTTGCACATACTAAATTTCATGTGTTACCTTTCAAGCAATAATGGTTATTATCCTCTAGTGCTTGCTGATGGGACCCTGCTGGGCACTGGGCACCCAGCCATGGCTAGCCTGCCCAGCCGCTGTCCTCACTTCTTTTTTTGGTACCAGGGATTGAACTCGGGTCCTTGTGCTTACGAGGCGGGCGGTGGAACCACTGAGCTCAATCCTGGCCCAAGCCACTGTCCTCACATGGCTTCCACTGGGGTGGGAGACACCAAGGAGAGGCTACCACATCCCCCTGTATTTCCCTGTCACAGGGCTAGGAAGGGACCAGGCAGTAGGACTACAGGGATAAGAGGAGGGGTCCGCCCTTAGGTACCAGTGTCCCTCTGGCCTCTCAGGAAGGGCCACTGAGGCTGAGCTAACAGATAAGAGGATCTGGGAATAGCACGATGAGACCAGGCGGAGCTGTAGGACCAGCTCCCGATAGCCATGGGGCCTGGAAGACGCTGGCTAAGTGCAGCTAGCTCTGCTATGTTCTTGCTGAGTGACAGTAGGCAAGTCACATCCCCTTTCTGGGCCACACCATCCATATCTGAAAACTGATGACATTAATGGACCCTGCATTGCACACCCTCAGGTTGCAAGGAGGGCTGAGCAGATGATGTAGGTAAAGCTCCTTAGCTCAGGCTGACCCCAGATCAGAGTTTCCATGAGGGCAGCTCTAGTGTGATGAGTACGGAGCATCGTGGGTGGCTCTGATGTGTCTCTGGTGGATCCCTCCCATGGGGAGACTTTGCTTCATTCATCTCCCAGGTCCCTGACCCTTGGCCTGGGGCTCTGTATGCAGCAGACACCCACTAAATGCCCACTGTGTCTCTTATCTGCACTTCTGCCCCCTCCTGGAGCCTCCTGGATATAGGCCTGAGTTCAGGCCTCTAGTGGGCAGCAGGTGTCTGGGTGCGGTGCTTTGGGGTGATTGTCAGCAGCGAAACTGGAAACCCCGAGGCTGCCTGTGGATGCAGTTCCCCAGCCCCACCCAGCACCTGCTCACTGTTGGGTGGGCCTAGGAACCTGCATGTTCTCTAGGCTCCCTGGCAACTTCCCCGGGAGCATGAAGTTAGGGTCTGACTAGTAGCTTTGCCAATTAAGTTCTTTTTTGCTGACATATTTATATTTATGGATACATAAGGGTATGCAGTGTGATAAAAATATTGTGTTTAAATTTTAAAAATGTATTACAGTAAAAGACATATTGCCATTAACTCCCTCAAAATAGTTCCCCTCAGGCCAGAGATGTAGCTCAGTGGCACTGCGCCTGCCTGGCAAGTGCAAGGTCCTGAGTTGGATTCCCGGTACAAAAAAAGAATGGTTCCCCTCACTTCTCTTTGAACACACTTATCCTATTGTTCTTGTCACTTCCTGAAGCAGTTCTGGAAGTCCTCTTTCATTAATTTCTTTAGTTATGCTTTTGTGACTGCTTTGATATTCTAAATCGATTCAAAATGTTCACCTTCCATGGTTATTTTGACTTTGGGAAGAGCCAAGAGTGGCTTGGTGCTGGATTTTGTGAATAAGGCCGATAAGGATGCACAATAATGTTTTACTTTTTCCTTTATTTTTTTTTTTCTGATATGGGAATTGAACTCAGGGCCTTGCGCTTGCCAGGCTGGCATAGCACCGTTGAACTACATCCCTGACCCAACCATAATTTTTGTGTCTGTGTGTGGATTTTTTTTTTTTTTGGTACTGGGAATTAAACTCAGGACCTTGCATTTGCCAGGCAGGCATGGTGCCACTGAGCTAAATTCCCAGCCTCCATCCATAATGGTTTTTCTGGGGGGCGGGTACTGGGGATCGAACTCAGGACCTTGCACTTGCAAGGCAGGTGCGGTGCCACTAAGCTAAATCCCCAGCCCCAACCAAAATGTTTTTAACAAGCCCGCCTGTCTGTTCAATGGCACTTGGCAGCAACATTCACCTCATTTTTTAATCACACTTCATAAAGACACTCATGAAAGAGGACTTCCAGAACTGCTTCAGAAAGTGGCGAGAATGATGGGATGTGTTTAAAGTGAGGAGTGGTATTTTGAGGGGGAGTAATGGTGATGTGTCTTTTACTGTAATACATTTTTATTTGAACATTCACTATATTTTTTATGAAACCACACATGTAATATGTCATATATAAATACATAGTAACAAAAATATGTATACCTAAAACATGTATGTAGTATTGATATATAATTTATTTATAGCACATAAATGATATACTATACTAAACTTATTATTGGCGTATAACTCTACATGTCTGCATATAATTTTAAGGGGTAGGGGCTCAGCTATTGGATCCTGCTTCTCTAGCCCCTCATGAAAGGACTTTGTTCCTCAACAGTGTAGACTTGGCCTTGTCCCCTGGGTGGGGCCCCCTGGTGTCTCCAGGACCTGACATGCTGTCTACTGTCCTGGGGAGGGCACGACATCTTCTGGACTGAGACCCCGGCATTGCCCTGCCTGGCTTTCAGGTGCACCCCGAGAACGAAGACTGGACTTGCTTCGAGCAGTCGGCCTCACTGGACATCCGATCCTTCTTTGGTTTTGAAAGCGCCTTGGAGAAGATTGCCATGAAGCAGTACACGGCCAACGTCAAGAGGGTGAGGGGGAGGTGCCTGCACCTGCTCTGCCCCTGACAACCTGTGTGATCCTGGGCAAGGGCCTTCACCTTCCCAGCTGGTCTTCTCAGCTGTAAAGTGGGTTTCTAGTCACGACCCTATCATAGGAGATAATGAGGGAAAGGACCGGCCTGTAGTGGGGGACCTTATGATTGTGCCAGCCCCCCCCATATGGTGGGGTCTTGTGTAGTAAACTCAATGGGCAGAGGAGGGACCATTCTGCGGTGGGTTTTCCTGGTTAAAGTTGTCACTGCTTGGTTTAAAGAACTCAGAATCTTTAGTTGTATAGAGGCCTGTTTATGTAACTACAGGTGAAATTAAATTTTTTTTTTGGACCGGGGATTGAACTCGGGACCTTGTGCTTGTGAGGCAGGCAGCAGAAACACTGAGCTAAATCCCCGGCCCCCTGAAATTAATTTTAATAATATAATTTGTTTAATGTGTTGTCAATACAAAACTGCATTAGTTTATCTTCTTTGTTCCATTCTGAGTCCATAAATTCCACGTGTGTCCAACACTCTCGGCAAACCCCCTTTCCAATGACCACATTGCAGCTGTCCACAGACCCCAGTGTCTGACCTGGGACCCTGAGCATGGGGATGGGGGTGACCTGCAGATGTGTGGTGGCCCTGCTGTCCTGGCCCATGGTGACTTATCTGGGGTCTCTCCGGCTTCCAGGGCAAAGAGGTGATCGAGCATTACCTGCAGGAGCTCATTGCCCAGGGCACCTCTCACCTTCCCCGCTGGACACCGGCCCCAGTGCGGGAGCAGGACACTCACAGACAGCCTGGGCCACAGGAACCCAGCTCCCTGGAGGGCGCAGTGATTGGCAGCAGCCCATGCCTTGCTCTGGAGGGTGTCAGTACTGATGGTAGGTGGCTGTACCAGGCCGGCTGGCCAGGTCCGCATCCCCAACCTGCAGTCCAGGGCAGCCTTCAGCTCTGGCTTGCTCCTTAGGAAGAGGAGATAGCGGCCCTGGGTCCCCTTGGCTGAGTGGAGGGTAGAGAAAGGGTTGTTCTGGGTCTGGAATGACTCAGCCTGCTCCCTCTGCTGGCTGCTTCTCCCTGGCTCCATTCTGGGCAGAGCTGGCTTATTTCTAGATCAGGAACTGACCTCCAGTGCTTTAGCACTGACTTGCTGTCTGGTTATTACTATTTTTAATTATATGAGTAATGCATGATCATGGCAGAAACAAATTCAGACCACTGGGAAGATGTAAAGTGCAGTAAGATACCTTCCCTCTCCCTGAAGGCTGTAACAGTTTTGTCTTTCACGAAGCTACATAGACCTATCTATATACATGATATGTATGTATGCATACGTGTGTGGACATGCATACACATGTCTAACTTATGTCGAACAAATGAGAGCATGTTAGACATTTTACTTGATACTTTGCCTTTTCTCACTAATGTTTGAATAACTTTCTATATGAGTGCCTGTATCTTCTTTTAATACTATGGTATAGATGGTTGCTCCCTATTTATTAGTAAGCATATATCTATTTATTAGTAGTATTTTTTCAATGCTGGGAATTGAATCCAAAGCCTTGCACATACTAGGCAAGAGCTCTACCACTGAGCTAAATCCCCAGCCCTGCCCAGCCTTTTTTATTTTGAGAAGTTGCCTGGGCTGGGCTTGAATTTACAATCCTCCTGGCTGAGCCTCCCAGAATGCTGGAATTAAAAATGTGTGCTACCACACCTGGTTCATTAAAAAAAAATACAGCTGGGTGTGGTGGTGCATGCTTGTAATCCCAGCACTCAGGAGGCTGAAGCAGGAGGTTCACTGTGAGTTTGAGGCCAGCCTGGGTAACATTACTGTTCAAGGCCAGGCTGAACTGCATAACAAGACTCTATCTCAAAACCCCAAAACAAAAAACAATGTGGTATATCTTGTACTTAATGATTTTACATTTTCTCTGTTCATATATATATATATATATATATATATATATATATATATATGGAGTGATCAAAAATATGGTAATTGTTTAAAAATAATTTTATAGTAAAAGACACAGCCATTCACCCCCCAAAAGTACTTTTTTTTTTTGCTTTGAACACACTTATCCTATCATTGTTGCCACTTTCTGAAGCAGTTCTGGAAGTCTTTTGTGGCTTTATGCATCAAGATAAAAAATATAGTGAATGGTGTTGCTGATGCCATCCAACAGAAAGGCAGACTCATACAAGCAGTCCAGTGCATCCTCATCCACCTTATTCACTGGATCTGGCATTGTGCAACTTTTGGTTCTTCCCCAAAGGGTAAATAACCATAAAAAGTGAACATTTTTAATTGACTCAGAACATTGAGGCAGTTATGACAGCACAACTAAAGACACTCAGGAAAGAGGACTTCCAGAACTGCTTCAGAAAGTGGCAAGAATGATGGAATGTGTGTTCAAAGCGAGGGAGACTATTTTGCAGAGGATTAATGCAATGTGTCTTTTAGTATAATAAAATATTTTTTACACAAAATATTATTTACACACCGTATTTTTCTATCACATCTTGTTCATAGCATCCTTTTTTGTGTGTGTGGTACTGGGGATCAAACTCAGGACCTCAGGACCTTGCACTTGTGAGGCAGGTATGGTGCTACTGAGCTAAATCCCAGGCCCCTATAGCATACATTTTTAAAAGTGGCATTGCTTTTGTGTGTGTGTGTGTGTGTGGGGAGGTTGAAACAGGATCTCACTGTGTCATTGGGGTTGGCCTGGAACTCACAGTGATCCTCTTGCCTCAGCCTTCCAAGTGCTGGAATTACAGGTGTGTGCCACCATGCCCAGCTAAAGAGGAATTGTTGGGCCAAAGGTTAAATGCAACCAAAATTTTGATAGATTTACTAGATAGGCCTCCAAAGAGGTTATATGAATTGTTGTTTCCACCAGAAGTGTGTGTGTCTACTCATCCTGACTCCCCACATGAGTCTTGTTAAATATTTCAGACCTCTGAAAGGCAGAAAGAGTGATCCCTGGTGGATTTGTGGTCTGTTCTTTTGTCACAAGTGAGGCTAAACGTTGCTTTCATGTTTAGTGGCTGTTTGTTTTCCTTTCTTTGGTGAATCCTTGTTATTGTTCTTTGTCCTTTTTCTATTTGCTCATCGATTTCTAACTGGCTTGCAGAGCTCTTTTTGAATTAAGGCAGTTACCCCTTTGTCACAGCTCAGTCTGTTATTGACATGGAGAATGTTCACAGAATGTTAAAGGGAAACGAAACAGAAACAAACCCAACAAACCAGGATTCAGAACTCCACAGACATCACAAACCCAGTTGTAACCATGTGCACACCTCCATGCGGCTCATGAAGATCAAGTCTTCCCTTTTGGGCCATTGGCAGAGAGGCCTGACCCCAAGACACTTGTGTGATAGCACCAGGTAACCTATGTGACCCCTGGGTCTGTGTTTAGGGAGAACCAAAGTCCTTCACGCATTTATTTAGCACCAGCTGTGTGCACCGGCAGGCTTCTGCTGCACATGCATGGCTTTACAGCGGTGCCCTGTGCAGCCCCTTGCTGGATGTTCATCTGTCCAGTCCGCCAGCTGGGCTGGTGCTGAGTGGCGGGCAGAAGGCGCTTGGGCCCCTCCGCCCTGTTCTGGATCACTGGGCCTTTGTGCTGAGAAACAGAAAATGGTCTTCACATCTGCTCTGGGGCCGGAAGGACTCAGAAACTCTTGCCTCCCTCCTGTTTGCTCCTGCCCCTCCTCACTTCCGAAGTCTCTGCCTTTGACTACATGAATTCAGCTGGTCCTCCTTACCCCATTGGACAGCCCTCTGCCTCAGTTTACCCCAATGCCTCCTGGCACAGTTGGTGTGGCCCTCAGCCCTGGGCTCCTCTCTTTTGGGGGAATCAAAGAGAGAGGAGCTGCCGCTGGACATGCTGACATTCAGTTTGCTTTCATAGCATGCTGTCATCCACAAAGAAGCAGCTCTGCCCACAGGGGCTGCCACTTTGTACAACATCTCTGTCTGCTGCTGAAGTGCTAGGAGGCAGTGGGTCCCAGGATCTGCTGTCCTAATGGTTAAGAGTCAGCAACACAAGCTGGGCATAGTGGTGCACACCTGTAATCCCAGGACTCTGGGAGGTCAGGCAGGAAGATTCCAAGTTGGAGGCCAGCCTGGGCCAACCCGGGCACTTAACACCTTAATGAGACCTGTCTTTAAATAAAAGGTAAAAAGGGGCTGGGGAATGTAGCTCAATGCAAAGGCTTGGGGTTCACTCCCTGGTACTCCTTATGTCAGCAATAAGACCCAGGTCAGGCTGGGACGCTGCATGCCTGTGACTGGCCAAACCCAAACAGCCCGCCTGTGTGAGCTGGGGTTTCCCAGTGGGGCTGATCCATGTGGTCCTCAGGCCTCTAAACAGACAGGGGTCCAGGCTCTGTGTGCTGAAATCCTTATTCCCTGTAAAGGAGGCTGGGGAGGTGGGAAGGCAAAGGGGACTGTGTTTGTGACCCACCTTCTCTTTGCTGGGCACGGTCCTTGCCTTGCTCACTCCAGGGTCTCAATCTCTCTCCACCTTGGTTCAGTATTCTCCAAAGTGGGGATAACAGTGACGCCCTCACGGGCAGTTGGAGTAGCCTGAGAGCAGGCATATCCTGAGCACGCAGTGAGCCTCTCTGGGGAGTGGGATCATCTCCATTCTGGGGGCCAAAGAGGAGAAGTCACTTCCCACAGTGAGACCCAGGAGTGTCCTGCACGAGTTTTCGGAGTCTTCTTGGAAATGGGTTGGAGAGATGAATGGGGAGGGGCCTGGCCTGGCTTGGAATCACATCTCAGAGCCGTGGTGGCCAGTAAGGACATCAAGGCCAGCAGAAAGCTTAGACTGTGTGGTAAAAGGTGAAGTGTCTTGCTCTGGTCCCGAGTCTCCCTCCTTCTCGTCCAAGGGGACAAGCTGGATGCAGACTACATTGAGAGGTACCTGGGCCATCTCACGCCCATGCAGGAGAGCTGCCTGATCCAGCTTCGGCATTGGTTGCAGGAGACCCACAAAGGCAAGGTGGGTGCAGGGGACTCACTTCCAATGACAGGGATCAGTGGAGGTAGTGGGGAGGCAAGAGAGATAAGTTTATGTTATTAGCAATATTAAAACCTTACATTTTGTTTTATTTTTATTATTATTGTCCTGTGCACCCATAACACATGCTGAGGGCACCACTGGTGGCAGAGTTCCTCATCCTCAGCACTAGTGCCATTTGGGGCCAGGCATCTCTTTGTAGTTGGTGCTTGTTGTGTGCACTGTAGGTTGCTTAATAGCATGCCTGGCCTCCAGCCAACAGATGCTAGTTGCTCCCTACTCCCTTGATATGATAACCCACAAGGCTTCCCACATTGTACCATGTTCACCAAACCTTCATACTGTCCCTTTCTGTGAGATTTTGTGGCTTTATGAGAGTGATTCTTGAATGCCCATGGATTTTGTCTTTAGACTCTAACTCCCGTAATATGGATGTACACCATGCCTGTCTTCAGCTCCTTTGAAGAAGGCCTGGGTTGCTTACCCTTTCTTCTCTCTCAAGGGAGGAGCCACTTAGTGTTGGGCTGTGATTTAACCTGCCTGCCCATTTCTTCATCTGTAAAATGGGGATGATATTGGTATATACCTCCTACAGTGAGTTACAAAGACTGATCCATGTAAAGTGCTTAGAAAGGTGTCCAGGTCAGAATGAACACTCACAAAAGGGCAGCTTTTATTGCTGGTTTTGTGTAAGTGTTGCACTGAGGAGTCAGAAGGAGGAGGAGTTGCTCCAGGAAAAAATGCTGTTCCCAGCATAAGGAAGGAGGGCTCTTCAGCAGTGCCAGCATTGATACTTCCCTCAGAGAATAGATACTTGCTCTGAGGCTGAGGGCAAATAGAGTCCTTTCCAGATGAGTGTTTTGCAGATGAGCTAGAAGACTCATTTCCTGTAATTTTATCTGGGAGTTAAGGAATACTATTCTGTGGGTCTTTCCCCCCTCTGCTTCTCAGATTCCCAAAGACCAGCACATCCTCCGGTTCCTGCGGGCACGGGACTTCCACCTGGACAAGGCCCGGGAGATGCTGTGCCAGTCTTTGAGCTGGCGGAAGCAGCACCAAGTAGACCTCCTCCTTCAGACCTGGAAGCCCCCGGTGCTCCTGGAGGAGTTCTACGCAGGGGGCTGGCATTACCAGGACATAGGTGTGTCCTCGACTACATACCCGATGTGTGCCACACACCATGGTTATTGACAAGTGCAGTCAGTGATATGCTTCATGCTAACATCCTGTTTTCCCTTTTAGTTTTGGAGGCATCTATGAAGTGTCTCCCAATCATGAAGAAGATAGAACTGGAATAGCCTTGGGGCTGAGAACAAACATGTTTGCCCTGGGCTGAGTTAGCCACCATTGCTTTGGAGCCTTGTGATTATTCACGCAATGGTGTAGTGAAAATTGCATCATCCCCTAGGGCTGCCGTAGCAAATAATCAAACACTGGGTGGCTCAAAACATCGGAAGTTCATTCTCCTCCCTTCTGGAGGCTGGAAGTGGAAGTGTGAGGTCGAAGTATCAGCAGGACTGAGCTCCCTCTGAAGGCTCTCTTGCTTGCCTCTTCCAGCTTCTGGTCAGGTGCTCTTTGGCTTGTGACGCTGTAACTCCAGCTTCTACCTCCATCTTCACAGGGCCTTCTTCTCTGGATGTCTCCGTGTAGTCTCTTTTCCTCATCAGGACCCCAGGCCATTGGGCTAGGGCCTGCCCTAACTCCAGCACGATCTCATCTTGAGATCTTTAACTTGCACCTGCTAAGTTACCTCACTCGGTTTCCAAGTGAGGTCATACTTTAAAGCTCCAAGGGAACATAAGTTTTGGAGAGACACTGTTCCACCCATTACAGACATCTTTTTTCTAGATTTAAAAAAATTAGGTAGCCATTTAAGTGAGTGCCTGGTGTGCTTTTTAATGTCCTTTATGTAAAAACCCACATGTATTGATTTGGGCAGATGCTCTGCTTTCCTGGAGAACCAGCTGATAAGGTTTAATATTCTGCTGGTCCTTATTGTGGGGTTCATATTGTGAATCCCCTGACTTGATAAAACTTGTTTTAAGCCCTAATGAATACTTACGGCTCTTTTGAGAATGTGTACAGAATGGTGAAAATTTTGAGCGGCCCAACATACCTCTTCTCTGCTGAAGTCAAGTGAGGTGACCCTCTGCCTCCTGATTCAGCACCTACACTGCACAGGTAGTGGCCTATTTCGTGACATATTTTTGTGCTTTATTGGCAGTTTTGCTGTTTAAATGCCCAGAAATATGGGGCCGATGTGCTATTACTTAGTGTTCCTAAGTGCAAGAAGGCTGCTGTGTACCTTATGGAGGAAATACCTGTGCTCAGTAAGACCTACTCGGGTGTGAGCTCCTACGCTGTTACCGCGCTGTTAGCCTGGTGTTCAGTGTTGAGGAATCAATATAATATGTCAAATGAAGTGGCCTTAAATAGAAGCACATCAAATAAGGTTACCCATTGATTGGTTAACAAAAATCATGACTAGAGTCTTGCTGGAACTTAAGCCCACATTTCCCTGAAAGCAGTGATTTGGTATTTGCTAATACAGTGTTCACAGTGACTTTATAGAACATAATTATCATGAATAATGAGAATTAAGTGTTAGTAAATTGTTCTTCATGTGACCTTTTTGGTTCATCTGACAGAAAGCTAAGGACTAAATTTTATCTGTTTTGTACTCTTTCATGACATGGCTCATTCTCTTTATTAAACGTTTTTTGTTGTTGTTTGTTTTTCTTTCTTTTTCTTTTTTTTTGTACTTGTGATGGAATCCAGGGCCTTCATACTGAGCTACATCCCCAGCCTTTTAATATTTTTTAATATTTTGAGTCAGAGTCTTGCTAAATTGCTAAAAGAAACAAAACAAAACAAAACGAAACACAGTTTTAGTTGGCGCCAAGTGGGGGAGTTCCCACAGCCCCCTCACCCCGTTCTCTTGAACCTTTCGGGAACACGTCCATGTGCCCTCTTTCCTGAGGAGGTGTAAGTCCCCCTTGGTCAGTAAGCGGACAGACAGGGCCTTGGTGAGCTCAGCCTGGTGTCTCTTGCCCCGAGGGGGCGATGTTCTCATCTGCAGCCTTGACCTGGCCGGGTCATCAGCCTCCCCTTGAATAAAGTCCCTCTCTTTGCTCGGCCCTGCACAGATGGCCGTCCGCTCTACATCCTGCGCCTGGGCCAGATGGACACCAAGGGCCTAATGAAGGCAGTGGGGGAGGAGGCGCTGCTGCAGCACGTGAGTAGCTGTCCCGGGGAAGGTGGTGGGTGGGGCCTGCGGAGGGCGGGGCCTGCCGCCTGCGGTGGACTTTATTCCCAGCACCTTGTCTCCTTCCAGGTTCTTTCTGTCAACGAGGAAGGTCAGAAGAGATGCGAAGGGAACACAAGACAGTTTGGCCGTCCCATCAGGCAAGGGTTGGGCTGAGGTCGGACTCCCCGGAAGTAAGGAGACAGTGTTGTTCATGAGCAAAGGCACTGCCCAGACCTCTGGCCAGGGCCTGTATGGCAGTGTCCTGCCTAAGCCTTAGGGTGGTTTTGTGAGGCAGGGACTGTAATCATCCTGGGTGGGGAAATTGAGTCCCATCCGAGAGGGTGTTGCTTAACTGGGATTGTGGAGTACTCAGTGACAGAGCTGGGTTCAAGTTGCCCCTGTCTCGCTGGCCCCTTGGGGTTGAGTAGCTGAGACCAGAACTCTGGACCAAGCTCTTCTTTGACCTGTCCTCCGGGGCAGCCTAGCCTCCCAGGGGTCACTGCCTGTCCAGTGGTTCACCGTTTTCCTCTAACTCCCTGGAATTGCTGCCCTTGAGGTGAGTTTCCAGCAGCAGCACTGACAGTGGCATGGCTCTAAAGGAGTGGACCTTTTAGAATGGCAGCTCCCTTCTCTGTAGAGTGGGTTTACAAATGGACTATCAAAAATGGCAGCTGTTAAATGATAAGGCAAACACAAATATAACACTTACCAGGGATCTCAACACTTGAGTCCCTTTCAACAGGACCAGCTCTGTAAACCTTTTGAATCTGTCTTGTCACTGGGACACAATACCCAACACCTACAAATTGAAGGAAAACTTGACTCAGGGTTCAGGGGATTCAGTCCATGGTCAAATGGCTCCAAGGAAGAAGCATCATGGTGGAGAGCATAGTGGAACAAAGCTGCTTAGTTTGTGGTGGCTGAAGCAGACCAGTGCCAGAGAGGAAGGCCAAAGGACCAAATATAGACCCCAAGGCCATGCCTCCATGACCCACTCAGACACACCCAGGAGTGTGCTCCACCAGTCCCCTAGGTGGCTCCCAAGCCAATTGAGTGGATGCAATTAAATTTAACTGCCATATCTTTTATCCCCAAATATCCTGATCTTTGAAAGATTGAGTTCCTTTGCTGTTTGGAAAGTTCCTAAGCACCTGGCCAGAGACAGAATTCACTCCAAATGTTCCAATGAGGGATATCATGAAGGCCTCTTTGCAGAGGTATGGGGAGGGTTGAGGGAACATCTTGGGGTGGGGGGGAAGGCCCACAGGAACCAGCCACTGAAGTAAGATGGTCATTTTCCTAATGAATTGGCACTAATGGAATAAAGGCAGAGAGGTTAAACGCTTGGACAAGGCCACCCAGCAATGGCAGAACTGAGATTTCAACCTGAGTGGTCCAACTTTATGTTCATACTCATTTTTGTTTTGTTTTATTTTCAGTACTAAGGCTTGAACCCAGGGTTTTCATACTGAGCTACATCTCTGACCTTTTTTTTTTTTAACATTTTTATTTTGAGAAAGGTCACATTAAATTGCTCAGGCTGGGCTTGAACTTCTGCTTTAGCCCTCCAGAGTGCTGGGATGACATGTGTACGCCACCATGCTGGGCTTGTATGTGCATGTTCTTAATGCTTGTGCTTACTCTATTTAATAGTTAGCATCTCTTTTTTTTCTTTTTTTGGGTACCAGAGATCGAACTTGGGACCTTGCGCTTGTGAGAGTTAGCATCTTTTTAATAATTAATAGCAACACTAATTTTTTTTTTTTTTACTAAGCGCATGCTATGTGCCTCCCTTGCAGAGAGTGTTACATCTACCATCTCATTTAACCTTAACAACTATTGTGCTCACTTTGGCAGCACATATTAAAGCCTTAACTACCATTGCTTGAGGTGAGGACTGTTACTATATTTGCCACTAACCCAAAGAGAAGTTAGGTCCCTGGCCCATGCCACACAGCTCTCGAGGGTAGAAGTGAGATTTGAATTTGAGGACTTGGCCTAGAAGTGCACGCTCTGGGCCTCTTTACTGTGTGGCTTTCTCACTGTGGCAGGATCCACGGAGGTGTTCAGTGGCCCCCTCTCTTCCTAGCTCTGTCTCCCTGAGCCTCCTGGGCAATCCCTGGACAGGGTGCTGGGGGCCGTGGGAGGTGGCAGAGCCAGGTGGAGCATGGGCCCATGTCTGCCACAGCTCCTGGACCTGCCTGCTGGACCTGGAGGGCCTCAGCATGCGGCACCTGTGGCAACCAGGTGTGAAGGCCCTGCTGCGCATGATCGAGGTGGTGGAGGACAACTACCCGGAGACCCTGGGCCGGCTGCTCATTGTGCGAGCCCCCCGAGTCTTCCCTGTGCTCTGGACGCTGGTGAGAGTGGGAGCCACGCAGCCTGGGATTCCCTTTACAGGAATCGTCAGGACGGGCAAGCAATAGGGACAGGATGCAGATTAGTGGTCTCCAGGGGTTTGGGGAGGGGACTAGGAAATGGCCATGACCAGCCATAGGTCTCCTCTTAGGGTGGTGGAAATGTCTTGGGACTAGACACAGAGGTGATGCTTGCATGACATAGTGAGTGCACTAAGGGCCACAGAACAGTGCACTTTAAAATGATGATAATGATGATTATTTTGAGGATTGAACCCAGGGCCGCTGCACTGGCCTACATCTCCACTCTGTTTTTTATTTTTTAAATTTAATTTAAATTTTTTTTGTTACCGGGGATCGAACCCGGGACCTTGCGCTTGTGAGGCAGGCACCGGAACCACTGAGCTAAATCCCCGGCTCTTTTTTATTTTTTGAGACAGGGTCTCACTAAGTCAGTTGCCCAGGCCTCCTGCCTCAGCTTCCCAGGGTGCTGGGATTACAGGCATGTGTGACTCTGCCTGGTTAGAAATGATTGTTTCTATATTATATGAATCATATCTGCAGTGGAAAGTCCATTTCCTTTGTCTCTACTTCCCCAGATCAGCCCCTTCATCAGTGAGAACACCAGGAGGAAGTTCCTCATCTACAGTGGCAGTGATTACCAGGGCCCCGGGGGCCTGGTGGATTACCTGGACCGAGATGTGATCCCTGACTTTCTGGGGGGAGACAGCGTGGTAAGGGCCTGGGCTGGGGGGCTGGGGGGCCGGAGGCTGGGGCTCTGGGGAAGGGAAGCTGATGAGGACAGGCCCAGACTTTGCTCCTGCCTGGGAGGCCTGTGGCTCTAAGGAGGACAGGGCTTGTGGCAGAAGTCACTCTAAAGAGCAGACACCTCTGGGACAGGGCCCCACTTTGGCTCTTTCAGACATGGTGAGTGATATAGAATTTTCCAGAAGCCAAAAGGCCAGGCAATGGCTTACCCATCCTGTAACCCCTCCAAGATGTTAGGCCGCAGAGGTTACCTGCCCACTCTGTGCCTTCTGTAGCAGGGAGGTGACTCCCAACGTCCCTAGCCCTGGCCCTGGAGCTGGTGTTCCCAAAGGGACTCGTCCCTCCATACAGTCACTGGCCTGGGATGGTCAGGCTACTGCTCCAAGGGCAGGTGGTATCCAGATCCTTTTATTGTCTCCTGTGGGGGTGGAATGACAGACGGGGTGTTCCTGGGTCCCAGCTCTCTTATTCACGTAAGAATATTCTCTTATTATGTGGGTCACAGGCTGCTCTCTTTCCTCTAACAGAAATACCCAACAGCCTGCTGGCACCATTTCTGGGTAAAAAGAGGCCAGTCTTAGGATTCTGCCAAGCTTGCCTGCTCTTTCCACTTGTTGAGACATGTATTTGTGTTTCTTTCCATTTTAGCTCACTTATAGATCTAAGAATGACTTAGTGAAGGACACTGGGCAGTGACCTTGCTTTGTTGGGCCTCATTGTTTTGGAAGTGAAATGGGGAAAATTACTGTCACCCAGGCACGTTTGGATCTGAGCAGTCTGTAGAGTTGGACAGTCCCTCAATTGCACTGTCCCTACCTCTGAGGGAGAGACATGGCTGCTGTGCGGTGCAGTGTGGAAGGGACCCCAAGTCTATTCCAGCACTGTGATAAGGGGCATGAGTGTGCCTGTGGGCATGGTTGGATAAACATGGGTTTGTGCCCTGGCTGAGCCACTTTCTGCTCTGTGATCTTGGGCAAGCGGCCAGGTCTCTCTGAGCCTCCATTCCCCTCCCCTGTGAAATGAGAAGAATAATAGTTTCTCCTGTGTTGGTGCCTCTGGTGCTAAGTGGGCTCATGGGAGCCACTGCTCAGCTTAGTAGGGGTCACTATTCCAAGCTGTCTCGGGACTCACAGGACCCCTCTGTGGATCTGGCCAGCAAGGGCCTCCACAGGCCCTGACCTGCCACCTTCTTGCCTTTGACTCCCAGTGTAATGTCCCTGAAGGAGGGCTGGTCCCCAAGTCCCTTTACCTGACGGAGGAGGAACAGGAGCAGGCAGACCAGCTGCGGCAGTGGAGTGAGACCTACCACTCGGCCAGCGTGCTCCGTGGGGTTCCCCACGAGGTGCAGTATGGGGCTTGGCTGGGAGGCCATGGGGTCAGAGGTCATTCTAGGGCAGGCTCCCACAGGGTGGATGTGGGACATCTCTGAGCTCTGGCATGTGAAGAGGGTCACAGCATGGCCCTGCCTGGAGGCAAGAGCTGCCATGCACCCTTAGATGTCTGGCGTCTTATGGCCACCCAGGGTGGAACCTGCTTGGCCTTTTGGAAAGAGGTGGGTCCATTTGCTCAGACTGACTCTCAGATGAGGGCCAGCAGGCACCTTAGCAGCTGGGCAGGTGGCCCAGGGAGGGAGGTCCTCACATGCCCTCCTCCCGATCCTGGCTGTCCTCTGTCCCCATGCAGGTTGCCTTGGAGATTCTGGAGGGGGAGTCAGTTATCACCTGGGACTTCGATATCCTTCGAGGGGACATGGTGTTCAGCCTGTACCATGCTAAGCAGATGCCCAAGTTGGGCCCCTGGGAGCCTGGGCCCAGGACCAGTGGGCAGCTGATTGACAAAGGCTGGGTCCTGGGAACTGATTACAGCCGGATGGAGGAGCCTCTTGTCTGCCGAGAGGGGGAGAGCATCCAGGTTCGTGGACTTTCCATCATTTAGTCATGCATTGTACAGTATGAGTGTCAGGCTCTGAGGACACAGTGGTGGACAAACTGGCCATGGTCCTTGGCCCCAGGGACCTGCAGGACATCAGGGATAAAAGACACAGTGTCTGTAGTAGATGCTCACTTGCCACAGGGCACCCAGGGAGACCTGGAGAAAGTAGGAGGCTCTCGCTGAGAGGCATCTGTCGGGGAGAGAGGTCAGGCCTGGAGCCTCAGTTTCCCCATCTGGGAAAGGGAATATGTAACAGGATTGAACTATGGCTGCTGAGCAAGTTACCAAAAAGCCAGTGGCTTTAACCAGAAGTGCATTGTCTCAATGTTCAGGGGCCACAAGTTCAAAATCAAGATGTCCCCAGGGTGGTGGTCCTGTGAAGGCTCCAGGGGGACCCTGCAGCTCCTTGGCTGTGGATGCAGCCTTGGCCTTGTACTTAATGTGGCTCTGTCCTCGGTCTCAAATCCTCCACTCCTCTCTCCAAGGAGACTGGACACTGGCCATTGTTTAGGGCCCCTAAATCCTTAACTGCAAACACTTTCTTTCCAAATAAGGTCACGTCCTGAGGGTCCAGTGGCCATGAGCTTGTGGAGGAGGGGGAGGAGGGCGCTCTTCTACTCGTTGCACTTTTTTTTGAGGGGAGGGAGAAGGGCGAGGGTGTTGAGGTTCCAAGTCCCAGTTCCCTGCCTGAGTCGAAACAGCTTGAGTATGGAAGGGGCCTTGAGGGGTGGACCTTTTGTGTCTGGAAGGGGGTGAGAGGAGAGGATGTTCCAGGTGGGAAGAACAGCAAGAACCAGGTTGAAGAGGCAGAGAGAAGGCTTGAGGGCACAGTGAATTGCAGAGTGACAGAAAGTTATTTTGGATGGGAGGGGAGGTACTAAGGTCCTGAGGTCAGTGGGAGATTCAGAACCCCAGGGTCCCAATCTCAGAATCTCTTAGGACACTTGTCAAAGATGCAGGCTGCTGGGCCCCACACCTGGCAGGCTGACATTGAATCTCTGGATGTGGGGCCTGGACTCCACACATCCTCCCTCCTGAGGAGTTCTGAAGTGTACTTGGGTCAGCACTGATGGAGCAAAGAAACTGCAGATGTAGGCACTGAATTTGGTTGCTTAAGTGGAATGTGAGCTGAGCCCCACCCCATTCTTTATGAGACCAGTGTTGCAGGTGGAATCACTCTCTACCCCTCAACACACACACACACACACACACACACACCCACCCCCTGGGAGTGAGATCCAGCTCCACAGCACTTGGATCTTGCTGGAGTTTCCTTGTCTTGCATGTGACATACCAGCACCTTATGATCCCACTGAACACTCCAGTGATTCCTCAAAGTTGTTCTTTTTTCCCTGGAACTGAGGATTTAACCCGGGGCCTCTGCAATGAATTACATTTCCCAGTCCTTATTTATTTTATTTTTGAGACAGAGTACTGCTAAGTAGCTAAGATGCCCAGGCTGGGCTTGAATCTGTGATCCTCCTGCCTCAGCCTCCTGGAGTGTTGGGATCATGGGTGTGCACTACTACTACAGTTGCTCTTCTTGTAACAGCTCACACCTCTCCAAGCTTGCCCCCAACCTTGTCCAGATGCCCGTGGGCTCCCTGCTGAGCTCCTTCCCTAACTCCTTTACTTTGCAGACCTGGATCCGCAGGACCAGAGTCCACCTTTGCTCTCATTTCCCATCCTCGACTCCCTCAGATTCATAGGAAGCTCTGGTCCCACAGATACAGTGGTAACAGCCAGGGTGGCTTCAGGAGGCCCTTTCAGGAAGGTTTTCAGTGGGCTGCAGGACGGGACAGCTAGGAAGAGCCCCATTTCTGAGCCTGGCTCTAGGAAGCCCCAGAAGGCTCAGCCTCCTCACCCTATTCCCGAGGACTTGGGGCCTCAGCGTGGCTGCTGTGTTCCAGGGCTCCCATGTGACACGGTGGCCCGGAGTCTACCTGCTGCAGTGGCAGGTGCACAGCCCCCTGGGCAGCGTGGCCTGCAGCCTCCCGGGTGTGGATGACGTCCTGACGGCCCTGCATAGTCCCGGCCCGAAGTGCAAACTCCTCTACTACTGTGAGGTGCTGGCCTCTGAAGACTTCAGGTAGGAGGGGGTGGGGGGCTCCAGTGCCTTAGGTGTTGCCCCTCGCAGGAGGGAAGAGGCCTATGGGTGCCTGGGCTCTGCCCTGCTGCTGGGTGGGCTTCTTCATGGTGTGGGCATTGCCAGAACCCTGCAGGTACAGGGAGGGGCCCTTAGTGTGAGAAGGAAGCTCCAGTCCTGCTCCTCATTCTACTTCTGCAGCATCCCCTTCCCTGCAGACAAAGCCCCGACAGAAGGAAGCCCAGTATACCAGAGCAGTTGGGGGCCAGGCAAAAAAAAAGGAGAGTCTTTTGATTTGGGCCCCACCACCACTCTTAGAATTCCACTAGGTTGGGAGCTGTCCTCAAACACTCTAGAACGGTGTCTTACAGACAACTGTCTCAAACTGTTGCTTTCAGAGAGACAGAGAAGTATAGCGGTTAAGACTGCCAGCTGGTGGTTAAGACTGGTTGCTTTGTGACCTCAGGCAAGTTCTTCCCCTCTCTGAGCTTCAGGCACTCCATCTGTGAAGTGGGAATTGCTGGAGCTCTTCCTCATGAGGTTGTGGTGAGGAAGAAATGGCTGGGGGAAGCCTGCCTGTCACCCAGACATACAGTAAATGCCCAGGAATGAAGCAGAGGGTCTGGAAGTGTTGCAGGAAATGTCTTCAAGGCCTTCCAGTTTATCTTTTATTAGTACATGTTGGGCCGGGGATTTAGCTCAGTGGTTCCAGTGCCTGCCTTGCAAGTTCAAGGTCCCAAGTTTGATTCCTGGTACCAAAAAAAAAAAGTGAATGTGATTTTGCATTCTGCTTCAGGGTATATCTGTGTTTTCATCTAAAAATGATGGGTTAAATCTGCTACAAGCCACCTGAAGAAATTTAAAGATAGCAAGTAGAACCAAATGAAGATTCTGTGCCCTAGTGGCACTGGCCACATTTCGAGCACCGCACATGTAGCCCCACGAGGCCAGTGGCTGCCATGCTGGACAGCACAGATGCAAAACATGTCAGTCATACAGAGAGTTCTGCACAGTTCCGACCTGAAGTTTGGAGCAGGAAGGACCCGGACAGCTTGGGGTGGAGATGCTTCCCCGAAGGCTCAGCATACACAGAGACTGGGTCAGAGGAGCTGGAAGGAGGCCGGGTTCAACTGCAAAGAGCCCTCGAGGGGGCATGAGCTGGGGGGCTGAGTCTCACCAGGCCTGGGGCCTTCTGGCCACAGTAGGGCCCCTGTCAGCAAAGCCCCTGCATGTCCTGGGCACCATCCTGGGGGGAGGCGTGCAGGAACAGGAGCGTACTTCATTTCTCATCATGGTGTCACTGACTTTTCCCTCTGCACAGGCCTGGGCCTCTTGTGGAATGAGCCCTGGGGCCTTGTTTGCGGCACTAACAGCTTTTGTGCCAGAACGTAACTCTGCTGCACCTTCCTCCCTAGGGGCTCCATGTCCAGCCTGGAATCCGGCACCAGCGGATTCTCCCAGCTCAGTGCGGCCACTTCGTCCTCCTCTTCTGGCCAGTCCCACCGCAGCTCCCTGGTCTCCAGATAGCTGGCTCAGAGCCCCGCAGGGCCACATCTGGAAGTGTCCAGTGCAGGAGACCAGCTTGCTGAGAGGCCTGGGAGAATGTGTGGGCTGGAGCATCTGGTCTAGCTGCTACCAAAGTTGGGGTGTCTGGACCGGATGGCAAGGATCTTGCCCTCAGCTTGTGTGAGATGTGACCCCAAGCCAGGGCTCTGGATGCTTCGAGGCCAGAACCATCTCCTTTGGACTTGGTGTTAAGGAAAGGCCCAGGCATGTGAATCCCACCACTGCTAAGTCTCCCTGGACGGGAACTCAGCCCCTCTCACCACTGGCTCTGCCCTCTCTGGGTTGGCTTCCTCATGTAGGGTACCCATCACTATTGGGCACTCTCCCCTATTCCCTGGTTCAGTGCGGAAGGGAACCTCTCTCTCCAACGTTCTGGTCCACTTCCCAGAATTGCTTCTTAGCAGTCTGCTGGGCCCACATCCATTGCTGAACCAATCACAGTTGCCAGGGAATGGAGAATACTGACTAGCCAGCAGATTCATGTGTCCAATGTGGACGAATTACTGTGACTCTCAGGGGTGGGCTGTGGTGCACTGATTGGCCAGCATGGATCACATGCACTTGCCTGGAGCCAAGCACATGGTCTGAATAGGTAAGGGGGTCCCTCAAGAAATACTGGGTCTCCCATTTCAAAAGGAGGAAAAGATACCTGGCAGGCAGAAAGGACTGGTGGTCACCTCAGCATTTGATTGCATAACAGTGCCCTGTGTCCCTCCAAATGCATAGGGGCTGTAACAGAAGTTAAGGCTGTGGTTTCTGGGGGAAGCAGCTTGCCTTGGACTGGAAATCCATTCTCCAGCACTTGGCTGGGAGGGCCTAATCCTGACCACCCTGACTTAGAGAGGATGGGGAGGCCGAGGGCTTCTGCCATGTTCCAGGCAGTGATGGAATGACTCGAGCTGTCTCTGTACCCCTCTGGAGGTCTCTTTCCCGGGGACCTGTTTAATTATGACCTGCTTTGGCTGTAAGCCACAGAAATCCACCTTCCAGTGGTTTAAACACAAAAGGGTGACCATTCTGGGGGCATGTAACTGGCTGGACCAGGGCTCTTAGGCTTCAGGTAAGGCTGGATCCAGGCTCTCCACATGGTGTCAGGACTCCCGTTGGGGTGGATGCTATTGTCTTTACATTGGGGCAGATGTGACTCAGGAACCAGCTCCACTATTGGCCTGAGTTTCTCCAGCTAGTACACCAGAGTCATGTTTCTTTGAGCCCTGAGGAGATATTTCTCCTTTATTTTCCTGCCCCCCCCCCACAAACAGAAAACAGGTCAGAGGTCACTGACTGGCACCCTATAACCAGTTCTGGCCCACTTTTAGTGTTTTTGCCATTTGCCTAGAGAGTGGTTAAAAACAAAATTGTGGCATTTCACATAGGATAAGCATTTCTGGTTTTCCTTTGGCATCTGGAAGTGGTAACAAAATGGGGCCACTGTTGCCACCTGAAGGCATCACCGCTGTGCCCCTGGATCAGGGCCCTGTAGACCCCACCCTGCCACCTTGCACCCAGCCCCTGCCACTGGCCCTTGATATCTGCCTGGAAGGGGCTCACTGCCACCTCTGTCCGAAGCTGGGTGCCAATGTGGGGGCCAGAGGCTCAGCTGTTACCCTTATCTCTTAGCCTTGCATAGAGTAGGGACATTTCTGGCAGAATCACTGGGACCAGGGCTGGGCTTACAGCTCTGGGCCCTGTCACTCTGATGCAAGCTCAGGATGCTGGGGCAAGGAGAACAAGGACCGGCTCCCACACTGACTTGAGCCCCAAACAGAGAAGTGAAAAGGGCTGTCCTTGGAAACACCCCCAGCCCCAGGAGGACCCGTCACAGTCCTGCTGGCTCACTTGCTTCTCAGGTGTAGGAACAGAACACACAACTCAGCACCCTGTGGCAAGGTGTATGTGCCCTGTGTGCATGAGAGGGGATGAGAGAGTGATGGGAGGGAGACATTCTCAAAGCTAAGAGGTCTCACGTCACCAAGCATTTACCACTGAGAACAGTTTGCAATGTTTTCAGGGCTCTTTAAAAGAAATTCTAGCTTATCTCTCAAACCTGGGTGCTCCCCTAGAAGTATTTTGGGATAAGCTATCTTAGGGGTCTCTGCACCTTTATTGTCTAGTGAAAGAGAAGCCTTTCACTGGGGGAAGCTGGGCCTGCTGATTGCAGAGAGGAAGGTCTGGGGGAGGGCACAGTCCAGCCAGGAGCAGGGGTAAGAAGCCTCAGCTCCACCCCCTCGCTAAAACAGGCTTAAGTGACAGAGGGAATTTCTTGGTTCTGCATTTGGGATGACTGGATCTTGTTCCAGGTACGGCTGGATCCAAGAGCCCAATGTCCCCAGACCTCTTGACTCTGTCCTTTGCACCCTGGCCTCACTCTTTCTCCCACCTGGGGAGAAAGGGTGGTGCCAGCAGCCTCAGACCTGTCACCACAGGGCTTGCAGTTTCTAAGATGGAGAAAGCACTTTCCCTTCGGGGATCTCATGGGAGATTCTGAGGGGCTCTGTCTGGGGTCATGTGTAGTACTTGCCCACAGGGCCAAGGGGCTGGGAGCCTTGGTTGAAATTCCCTGCAGGAGCAACAGGGGACTGGGGTAGGCGGGGGAGCTGGGCTCCAGCCCCGGCAGAGAGGGGTCCATGGCGGCGTCTGCGTGGTGCTCGGTGGGGAGGTCTCTGAAACCTACTCGAAGCATCCTCACAGGCCGTCTTGCCTCAGGGAGCCTGCAGTGAAAACTAGCCTAGGAAGGGGCTATCAGGCTTTGGTCTTTAGGTGTCCCCAGACCCGGGACCTGGAAGCAACCTAGCCTAGGCTTCTCTCTCCATCCATTCATCACTTCAACCTGGCTGGGTCAGAACCACCCAGAGCACCATGACATGGGTTTTTAGGAGCCTGGGTGTTGGATTTAGACAAGGGTTCAAAACCCAGCCTTCCTTTCATAGCTGTATAACCTCCAGCGAGCAACTTAGCCTCTCAGTGCCTCAGTTTCCTCATCTGTAAAATGGGGATAGCAGTGCCTGCCTCATTGGGTTGCGGTGGAACAAGATGAGAGCAGCCGCAGTCTTCAGCACAGTGCCTTGCACACAGAAAGCATTCAGTAAATGTCTGGCGACTCTGATTGTCTGGTGCTTCCCATCCAAAGACTCCAGGCTCCTTCCTGAGGTGCCACCCACTGGTGTTTGTGAGAGTGTGGTGACATCCAGAGAACATGGAAGCCAGGACGCTGGTGCCCTCGGAGCTGGGCACTTTCCCTGTTAGAAGTGGCTTGTGTTCTGGACAAGCCTTCTAAGAAAGAACATTACTATTATTGTCATTGTTATTATTTTGTGGTACTAGGGATTGAACCCAGGGCCGTCCCCATGAAGCTACATCCCTGATTCTTTTTTTATTTTTAATTTTGAGACAGGGTCTCCCTAAGTTGCTAAACTGTCCACACAAACTTGGGATCCTCCTGTTTCAGCCTCCCAGAATGCTGGGATTCAGGTTGGTGTCACCATGCCTGGCTGAGGGCGTGCATCATTCTGCGAGGTGTGTCCCTCAGCCAGGGAGAGAATTTTTCTCAGGATATGGAAATAAGAGCTTGAGGTGGTTCTTGTTTTTGTCTTTTTCCTACCCACCCACACTCTCTGGAAATTTCCCTCCCCTGCATAAAATTAATTGTTCAATGAGAATAGTATCACTCTTTTCAACACTGTTTGCTGCAGTCAGTGAAGTGGGATATTTCTTGTCTGCCTGATCTTTTGGGCCACCAGAGGCTTAAAACATTTGAGATTTGGAGCCCCTGTTGTTGACTTTCCCCTAGGCTTACTGGAGAATTTCTCAGGTGCTGCTTTTGAGACTCTAGGAGCGTTGTCAACAGGGCAGGACTCCTGCCAAGGGGTTGCAAATTGCTCTACAGGGGCCACACTTTTTTGGGGGGGTTACTATTAACCCCCTAGCCTTTTAATTGTCTTTCTTTGGCGATAAGATCTCTCTAAATGGCTAAGTTGCCCAAGCTGGGCTCAGACATGTGAACCTCCTGCCTCAGTTTCCCCGAGTGCTGGGATTACGGGTGTGCACCACCACCACAGGAGTTTCGAAGCCTGTGGCCCCACCTCTCTGCCTTTTGTCATACAGCTTCCCCCTGTGTCTCTTACAAGGACACCAATTTGTGGTTCATTCTGGATCCACTATAACACTGTCTTGAGATCCTTAAATAATTGCACCTGCAAAGACCCCGATTCCATGGCCACTCTATTCTTTTTTTTTTGGTACCAGGGATCGAACTCGGGTCCTTGCATTTGCAGGGCAGGCGGTGGAACCACTCTATTCTCTCTTGCATGGTGCCCGCCCTCATGCTGTAGGATGTGCTTCTTTTCCTACTTTTACTTGGCCCAAACTCACTCTGCAGAGCCTGTTTCTTTTCCTACCATTAATAAAACTTTGCTACCATTAAACAACAACAACAAAAAGATCCTGATTCCAAAGACCCTGCAGAGGTTCTGGGTGGATGTGGATTGGGGGGGATGCTGTGTGACCCCTCACTTGTCCATGCCATACGTAGACAGACACACAGTTTATCAGTGGTGCAGATCCCTGAGTCTGCTCACCCTGCCACTGTGATTTGCATGGCCAGGTGTCCCGGAAAAGTGAGGCCTGTATTCCATCCTTCCTGGCCTGCTCTGTCCTATGCCCTGGGCTTTGGGACAGTCACAGTCCTGATGTCAGAAGGGTGTGAAGGCTCCTCAGGTAGTGCCTGTCCTTTGCACAAGCCTGTGGGGCACAAAGCAGGGGCACTGGCTGCCACATACATCACGGGGCTCTGAAAAGGTGGGAGGCCATGGACTGTCAGCTGAGAGCAGAGGTGTGGCTCCTTTGCGGGATGGCCGCAGGGCCACCTGTCTACCCAGCCTCTGGGACTGGCTCACATGTGCAGCTGGGGGCAAGGAGACAGTGCATCACACACTCACTCAACAGGCTTCTGTGGGTTTCTCCTGAGCCCAGGCAATGGATCTCAGAGGAATGGCCGGCTGACCTGTGGGTGCCTTGGGTGTGCAGAAGGGGAGGACAGCTCCCAAAGGGCCGAGCTGGGATCCAGGCTTAGCTGCAGCTATCTGCTGACCTCTGTCTGAACCATTGATCCTCCCTGGAGACCTCCCGGGGCCTACGCCAGACAGGACAAAACAGGCCCAGGGCTCCCTGGTGGCCCAGAGGCTGTGCCTGGGTGCAGACCTCTGGGACCTCATGGATGGGTCTTGGCCCCAGAAACTGCCATGGGGACTTGGCAGGGCCTGGAAGGACACGAGACAGTAGCTCCCGGGGGGCCAGAGGCAGGGGGTGCTGTGAACATCTCCCACCTACGTCCCCTCCCCTCTGTCAGTGCCTGTCGCCATGAGGGCATCCGCAACGAAGCACAATACGAAGCCTCTGAGTGAGCTGCCCTGGGGCAGCTTTTTCTGAGATACAGACTTCTGTGAGAAGCTAGCCCGAGCTATGGACACACACACTCCAATTTTGTTTCCATTTCACGGTTCCAAAGACAGCCCACCCCTGCCCCTGTCAGAACCCACCCCAGGTCCCGCTCAGGGGTAAAGTTCCATGGAAGGCTTCCCAGACACTGACATGCATCACAGCACACAGAACTCTCAGGCTCCACCCCGGGCTGCAGGGACCGTGGTCCAGTCTGTCCACAGAGGGCTGCTTGATGCACAATCCACACCTTTTTCTCCGATGGCTGCCTCTGGTGGCGGTGCGTCCTTTGCCCCATGGAGAGGACTCCAGGATCAGCTACAACCAGTGATAAATGGGTGCAGGCTGCTATACACCCCTGTTCCCTTGGCCTCCAGAGATACAACTGGGGCATGTTCTCCAGCCCCATGAGACCTCCTGCAGCACCGAGGGCCCTGTCCAAGCACTCACCTACTGACTAGCGCTCCTGTCCAGGCTGCCTCCTATTTATGTCCCCCACCAATGCTCCTGGGGTCATCTCCCAGATAAACCACTTGGTCCTGTGGCTTTATCTCAGATTCTTGCTCCCCAGGCCTTGTTTCAGGGGGCTCAACCTAAGCCAAGGTGCTTCCTAAAGGAAGAGGGCTTGGATGTTTTTCAGGCAAAGATAATGGTTATCCTTGTGACAGACTGAAAATTCTGCCTGTAGTCCCAACACTTTGGGAAGCTGAGGAAGCCTCAATTGTAAATTCAAGCCCAGCCTGGGCAACTTAGCATGACCTGTCTCAAAAAATAAAAAAGGGCTAGGAATATGGCTCAGTGGGAAAGCCCGGAGTTCAATTTCTAGGACTGACAACAGCAACAAAGATTCCATAGAGCCTCGGGGAGGTTCACACTGTTCAGTGCATCTGTCACTTAGCTGAGGACCCTCTTCAGGTAAAGCTGTGCTCCCCTGGGCCTAGGGTCAACCAAACCAGTGCATGGTACTGTCCTCACTCACCTTAGGTGCCAGCATGGCAAAGGACAAAGATGTCTTCTCGAAGGCCAGGGCTTTCAGAGAGGGATTCAGGACAGCCTGTCACCAAGGCTACTGCCTCAGGCCCCTTGAGGGTACTTCTGGTAGATCCAAGATCCTCTCCCCTGTTCCCCAAGATTCTGACTCTGTGTCTGGGCAGGGCCCAGGTGTCCCACTGTAGAACATTCCAGGGGAATATACTTCAACTTGCAGTCAGGCTCAGGAAGTGCTCTTAGGAATATGCCCATCGGGCACCCACCCTCACAGCACCTCAGGTGAGCCTGCAGCCCCTGAACTTGGGCCACCTCTGGTGGGCTGCTTTATCCGACAGAGGAGGCGGAGACGACAAGTTAGGAGTGGTGGCCCCGCAAACCTCTTCCTCTGTGTCCCTCTCTGCTTTCTCCTCTCCGACCTGCCTCCATCTTGACCCCCAAGCCTGATCTGGCCTTCTGGAAGATGAGATACCCTGTGGAGCTGAGCTGCCACCATCCCAGGCCAGGCAGCTGCCTGCTGGCTGATCACAGACACATGGGAGCCCAGCTGAAATCACTGATTGCATCCCAGGTCAGCAGAATCCCCCAGGTGACCCCAAAGTGTGAGAAAGAGTAGTTTCTTAAGTAGTAACTGGTTGTTTGGTGCCCCCGAAGTTTTGCAGTGTCACACAGCAACAGATAACTGGCACAAGTGGACCATGCTCGGGGCCTGGGCTACTTGAGGACCTGCTGAAAGCCATGTGCCTCATTCCCCCAGCTGAAAATGCTGCTAAAGTACACAGGGACATGTGGACCTCACAGGCCCTTTCTGAAGCCCCAAGTGACAAGCTCTGACCAGGGCAACAGTCACTACTTGGCCAGGACTGCCAGAGTGCCCTCTTCTAAAGAAGACACCATATCGGGAGTTTGTGTTGGCTCCCTGACCTTAACATGGGTGACTAAGCCCACAGTGATGCATGTCTGTAACCCCAGCTGAGGCACAGGGAGGTTGTGACAGGCACTCGGAGAGACTGAGGCAGAAGGATCTCGAGTTCCAGTCCAGCCTGGGCAACTTAGTGAGACCCTGCCTCAAAATCAAAAAAATTTAAAAAAGGACTGGGGATGTATTTCGGTGCAAAGGCCCTGGGTTTAATTCTCAGTACCACAAAAACAAAATCCACAGGTGACCAACTCAAATTCTAGGAAATACAGTTAGGACCAACTGAAACCCTGCCATCAGTGTGTGGGCCAGACCAGCAGCAATAGCATCTTGGGCTTGCTGGAAACGCAGGCGCTTGGCCACACCCAGACCACTGCCTGCGTTTTACCACCTGGAAGTGACCTGTGTGGAAAAACACTGGCCCACCTGCTAGGACCGGCTCTCAAGTCCTCTCAAGTCGGCACTCTCACGGCCCCTGGTGACTCCTTTTAGTATCAATTTATTCAAGTGATAGAAAAATCCTCTTGCAGCAGGAAGACAAAACAGCAGGTCTGTAAACAGGGCGGCAGCATCCCTCCCACCTACCCTTCTCATGAAGAGCTTCCCATGATACCAAGACAATTCTAGTCGGCAAATCGGTGATGAGGTCAGCATGATGTGGCCAGAAGGGGAGACCCGTACCTTAACTTACCCCTGTGCGCCGGGGGGGGCGGGGGCTGGGATCTGCTCATCATGATTCCATCAGTGAGTTCAGTTCGCTAGCGCCTCTTCCCAGGAGACTGGGGACTCTTTGGCAGCAGTGCAGGTCCCCCTGGGGGACAGGTCTCTGAGCAGCAGATACAGGCAGGTGGCGAAGCAGGTGTGGTCTCTCTGGGACACTGTATTGCTGTATTGCTGGGGTGGCACATGCCACAGCAGACAGACAAGTGGGGGCTGGGGCACAAGTGCCACTGGGAGCTTGGCTGGAGTGCTGGGGGCAGAGGCCACCAGCAGGGTCCCCATCAGTGGCTCTGGACCCTCCCTTGCAGAAGCTGGACGGTGAAGACATGAGCCTTTGCACAGGTCATCAGGCAGCTCAGGGCTCAGTCCTTGAAGGGGTGGTGGGTGTTCCCAGGCTGCTCCTTCTCGGTGGCCAGGAGCTCACCATTCATTTCCTGCAGTGGGTGGTACACGTAGTCCCCGTCCAGGTGCCGGTTCCTCTCTGCCCTGGAGCCCAGCAGCAAGTATACATTGGCCGCAGTGCTGAGCAGCAACAGGAACACCAAGGTCAGGGTGAGGGCCAGCCAGGTGGTCCTGGGGACAAAGAGAGACCCAATGGGGTTTGGGGGCCAGGCTCAGGGCTTGGGAGCATGGCAGGTGGGGCTCAAGTGGGGCCTAGAGCATGCTGAAGACACATGCAGGGAGCAGCAGGGACAGTTTCTATATGGGCCACCTTCCCCTGATATCTCAAGACAAGCCATTAAAAAAAAATTGTGACTGATTTTCAGATCTTGCTAATCTATTTTAAATGTTAAATTATGTGAGCCAGATAAACCACAGCTGTGCATCTACCCCAGCGGGCTCTGTTTCCATCCTGTGCTCTGGGGAATGCCTGACCATCATGGTTGGGCTCTGGGAGCTCCGCCTTGTCCCAGCCCTGGTGTGTGTTTTCAGACAGTGCATCCAGTTTTCATGAAAGGTCCAGGCCCCTCAGGAATTCATGGCTGGTCCAGCCTCCTCCAGACTCACTGGGGCAGCACCCCGGGGCTCCCTCTAGGACAGGGCCAGGGAGCCTGGCATTTGTACACACATCACCTCCAGAATCAGAGAGGGGCCCAGGCACAGGGACTGGGCTGCTGGAGGGGAGAACCACCAGCTCAGAGGTTCTCAAAGTGAAGTACCTCGCCCAGGAGTCGCAACTTTGCCTGGGATGGTGTTAGAAATGCAATTCTGGATCTACCCCAGACCTCAGGAGGCAGCAGCTCTGGGGATGGGGTCTCTTCCAATAATCCCTCCAGGAGATCAAGCTTGAGACCTCCTGTGCTGAAAACAAAGCAACCAGGAGCACCAAGCCTGAGCGCTCAGAGGTATCACAAGGAGGAGTCTCTCAGAACTTGGAGTCTGTAGTGGGTCTGAGCCAAGAAAAGGAGTCACTAGTCTGAGGCCAGGGAGCCAAGTCCATGGCCTTGTTCCTTGGCTCCCACTGGGGTTCTGGACCTTCTCCTCAGCTTTCTGCACTGTCAGGAGGCTGCCAGCCTCAGCTGAGACTGTCTCCATACTTACTATGGAGAAATATCACCTATGTGCCCAGATGACACTTTCTGACCTCACACAGCCCTGGACAGATCTGCCTCCCACCACAGCACCCACCTGGTGAAAAAGGAGAGCTCTCCTGCCCTTGGGGTAACCTCTGATGGCTGCAGACACTGCTTCACTGCAAGACATCAGAGACAGGCTGCAGGGCTGAACAAGGTAGGGGGTCATCTTCCCTGTCCCCAAGGTCCCAAGGGGCCCTGTACCTTGGGAGGTGCTGCAGTTCCCCGTCTGGGGGTCACAGGGACAATGGTGCTCACACTGGCAAGGCCTCTGGCAGCCTGGCCCATACCAGCCAAGGGGACACTCTGCAGAGGGGAGACAGGAAGACAGAGGTCAAGGCCGTTCTCTGAAGGAAGGGTGGCCCCCAGCAGTGTGCAGAGCTGGACTGAAGGAGAAGCCCCTGCTCCCCTAGGCGGGATCCTGACCGAGACTGGTCCAGCAATAGCGTCTGCGCAAGTGTTATTAAGTCAAGGATTTCAAGATGACACCATCCTGCATTCAGGCTTCAGAGCCTCACTGATGACCTGAAGTCTTTATGAGAGGAAAGGAGGAGAAACAGGAGGGAAGAGGAGAAGGAGAGAAGAGAAAAGAGAGAAAGAAAAAACACATATGGGGAGGTGGCTGAGACTGGAGGATACCATGCAAGCCTCAGAATCCAGGGGAGCTGCTTCCAGGCACAAGTCTGCTTTTCTGGGGCTGTGAGGGGAAGCATGGGCGCCCTACTCACGCTCTTTGACTTGTGGCCCCAGAACTGCAAGAGGACATTTCTGTGGTTCTGGCCACCCACTGTGTGGAATGCGATACAGCAGCCACAGGAAACAGAAAGAGATTTTTTTCTTGCAGTATTTGACCCCAGGGCCTTCACAATAAGCTACATCCCCAGCCTTTTTAAAATTTTGAGACAGGGTCTTACTAGGTTGCTAAACTGCCCGGAATGGACTCAAACTAGCAGTCCTCCTGCCTCAGCCTCCCACAGAGCTCGGATTCCGGTTGTGGGCCACCACACACCCTCATGAAGAGATTCACATGTGAATAAGAGTAAGAGACAAGAGCAACTTTCCAACCGGAAGGTGGGACACAGGTGGCCCAAGAGCTTGGAGTCACTAGGAACTGCCGGGACTGGGAGGGGCAGCAGGGGCTCTCACCTTCGCTGCAGTTGGACCCCATCCATCCAGTGTTGCAGCGGCAGCCAGCTGCCAAGACAAGAGCAGGAGGCTGGTGAGGATGGGCAGGGCAGGAGGAGGGACCATCGGCCCCAGCAGCACTCACCCTCTGTGCACAGCCCATGGCCACTGCAGTTGGCCGGGCCGCAGTCCAGCTCGCTGCAGGCAGCGCCCCGCCAGAAGTGCCCCTCACACTTGCAGTGGCCCTCCACGCATGTCCCATGGCCACTGCAGTCGGGCGGCTGGCAGCGAGGCTCATGCACACACACCACGGTGGACACGTGGCGGGGACAGCGCCACATGTTGTCCTGGCTGGGGGGGGGGATGCAGTGTGTGAGGAGAGGCTGCGGTGCTGACCCCTTAACCCCCACTGCAGGCCTTGAGGGGTGGTCCTTCCTACCCCACTCTCCATTCTTACTCCTCAGCCCTTTCACAAGCTCCTCCACTCCCTACCCTTCCTCCCACCCCAGGACCTCTGCATATACAGTACTGTGCTCTCTGCCTGGAAGGCGATCCCATCCCCACCCAGCTGACTCATGCTTCAATCTCAGCTCTTATTTCACAGTCTTCAGGGAGGTGTTTCCTGACCAATTGGCCTTTGTTTATAGGTGTGGGCAGTACAGAGAACAGGGACTTCAGCTCTTTTATTCAATCCTGAATACCCAGGGCTTGGTGCATTCTAGGGGCTCAATATTGCTCAGCTGGAGGCAGGCCTAGATGTTGACCTTCCCAAGGAGGCTCAGCTGTGCTTACCAGTGATCTGAGGGGTAACTGGCCAAGGTCCCATTGAGCACAAACGTGGCAGAGCCGCCCCCGTCCAGGTTGATGGCATTGACCACATCCTGTCTCAGCAGGAACTCCGCCATCTCCCACAGGTTGATGCTGTGGCACAAGTGCAGTGCTGTTGAGTGCCCCCACTTCTGGCTTATCTTAGACTAAAGGGCACCCCCAGCTGTCCTGTCCTAATCCCCCAAAGGTGAGCACAGGAGACCTCGCTCCTATGACCTTGCTGTTATGTGGTACAGGTGTCCTAAAGGGGAGAGGATGAGGAGTTCTGGAAGTGGGGCAGACTCTTTTTATGGGGAGGCCAGGGCAGCTCCGTGGGAACATTCCCGAGGGACAGTGGGTCAGAAGGGTACCGTCATGGCACAATATGGGACTCAGCTCAGCCCCAGAGGCCTCTGTCCCCAGAACTCACCCTCGCTGCTCCGTCTGTCCATCTGCATGGAAGAGCACCAGCTGCCCATCACGGTCATGGCCCACGGCTGTCCTGGCCGACATCACATTCACAAACTTGCTGAAGGAACCTGAGGGAGGTGCAGCCTGGCTGCCAATCTGGCCTTTGGGGGTCCCGGGGATCTGCCTCTCATTTCTCACCGCACATCACTCCCCACCTCCCAGTCCAGGCCACCTGGGTTCTGCCCTGGATGCACAACAGCCTCCTCACTGGTCTCCATGCCTCCCCGCTGCCCTGTGCCAGCCAGGCCCCCACCTCGGCAGCCAGAGGGCTTGGTGTACACCAAGTGACATCAGCCTCGAGTGGAAACCCTCTAACAGACAAAATCCACAGTCCTTGTGTGACCTCCTGGCCTCATCCTGCCTCAAGGCCTTTATACTTTCTGTTCCCTCTGGCTGGGAACTATACTTCCCCCGAGCTCTTCCCATGGCTTGTTCCTTCTGATCCAAGGTCACCTCCTCATGAGGCACTTCCTGACTATCTACCCTACAACAGCCAGTATTCTGTATCACAGTGTTTCTCAACATCAGTGTCCATGAGTCACTGAGGGGGCTCAGCCAGGCATGGTGGTGCCTGTAATCTCAGCACTCTGGGAGGCTAAAGGAGGGGCAATGAAAGTTTGAGCTAAGACTGGGCAATTTAGTGAGACTCTGTCTCGAAAAAAAAAAAGAATTACCTAGGGGGTTCCTTAAAACACTTTTGGCCTCTCTTCATGGGATTTTAGTGCTGTAGGTCTGAGATAGGTGGGCTCATGGTTCTGCATTTGTAACAAGCTCCTGGCAACGATGAGGCTGTTGCCCCATGAACATTTTACAGAGCTTCTTTGTTCCCTTGCCTGCAACTCCTGTCCCCTATCTGTTCCTTTTCCCCTTTTTCTTAGCATTTGTCAATTCTTTTCAGATTATACAACTATGTCCCTTCTTCTACCCCACATAAGACTTATCTGGCTTCCCAGTGCCCAGAACAGTGCTAAGTGCAAACCACCTGCTCAGTAAACACCTGTCCAGTGCCTTAAAAACAGCATCCCCCACTGCCTGGTTCCTGTTGCTGCCAGTCTCCCCTCTCCCGCACCTGTCTCCTGTGTCTCATCGCACTCGGCGGCCTGGCTCTCGTTGATGTAGATGCTCCCATTTCGAATCAGCCAAACAACCCCGCTCAGCAGCTGCACAAATGGATTCTCAGTGTCCAGCACCTCCTCCTCAGACAGGTACCTGGACCCGGGGAGGGTGAGAGGCTCACTCACCTGCACGGGCAGTTGGGAGTCCTGGGCTCCTTCCTTCCTCCCATCTCAGCCTGGCTTGCTCACCCTCCTCCTCTCCTAGGAAGCTGCCTAGGCCTGCAGCTCAGGGCAGCTGTGGTGCTCTGCTGCTCTTGGAAATCTCCCTGTCATCAGAGCAGGGTAACAAGACTAATGCTAGACAGGGCTCTGACAGTATCCCTCTGTACACAAACCTTTGCAAACAGCCTGTACTTCATTTACTAAAACAATGCATTCCGCATTCCCCACAGATCGCAGGCCCATACACAGTCCTCAATTTCCAGGCGGACACTCCCTTGAAAGCATTTCATGTCTCCTAAGGCCTCTTTGCTTCTCTAACCCCATCACTCCCCCACACTCAGGGTTGGAGCAAGCTGCTAATTAGTCAATCCTGTCACTTTCTGATAATCTGCTCCTTCCCTGGGTCCCTTCCACACACTAAGGCTTCCTGAACCTCTGAGCCTTTGTGCCTGCTGTTCCTTCTGCCTGGAGTCCTTTCTCTAGTTCCCCAGTCTTCGGGACTGCTCAATTTTTAGTGTCAAAGGTCACCTTCTCAGAGGGGCCTGTTTCTCACCACTCAACCTGAATCAGCTCTATTTATAGTTGGTTGGCCTTGATCACTGCTTTGCTGAACACACAATCTGAACTTACTTTATTACCAGTGTTTACTTGGCTTTTATTTACTTTTCCTACTAATGGGAGAGATTCCTTAGGGTAACCTGTGAGTGCTTGTTCTAGGTCACCTCACCAAGACACAGAGCAAGCGCTCAGTGACACAGGGTGATTAATAACGTCTGCAGCGTAGGTACCATATTACTATCCCCATTCTGCAGATGAGGAAGCAGAGGCTGCTCGGTTAAGTGACTTGAATGCGATGGCATGGCCACAACGCAAAACTCAGGCCCTGTTCCCTCGACTGCCACGGGGCTCCCTGCCTCCTCACCCGGTAACCAGGGTCCCGTCGCGGCGGATCCCGAACTGCGCGTTCTGCAGCCCCCCGGAGCTGCTCACCAGCCGCCCGTCGCTCACCACGTTCCCCAGGCACTCGCCCGTATTCATGCGGAAGAAGCCGCCGTTCTGGGCTACTTGGCAGGCGGGCCCCCGCGCCGTCTCCTCCACGGTGGCCCGGCGCTTCTGCGAGCAGCCTCCGGGGCTGCCGGGTTCCAGCACCGAGAAGGTGCGCAAGGGCGCGACGGCCCGGGTCAGGTGGCCGGACACCGCGCGCCCCCCGAAATGTGACACAAAGGTCCGCACCACCGGGCGGCCGGCTCCGGGGGTTGTGAGATGCTGGGGCCAGCTCTCGTGCTTCAGGCTGCCCGTACGCACCGGGGTGCAGTCCCGGGCCGGGCGCAGGCGCGCGCGAGGGTAGGGCAGCAGCAGATCGTCGTCGCGGGAGGCCCTGCGGGGACCGGATGGCCGTGAGCTTGGGTGGCTGTGCCAGGGAGCCCGGAGAGCAGGGGTACCCCAAACCAGGTTCACCCCTTGGAAGCTGCACTCACCCCTCCCCGATGCCGCCGGACGCTTCCTCGAGGAAGCCCAGCAGCGCAAGCAGAAAGAGAAGTCCAAGCCTCGTGGGGGCCGCCATGTTGGAGTTGGGCCTTCGGTCACGTGGGTCCTTCTCACGTGACTCCATACCCTTTCTTGGCCGCCTTCACCACCCACAGCTGTAGCGAGATCACTCATCCAAATATTTGCGGGGAAATTTCTGGAGGTCCAAGGGCTGGTTGGAGGGAACTTTATCTTGATGTAATTTCAAACTTACAGAAAATTGCAACGGTAGAACTCTCTTGTTCTTCTTACCCATATTTACCAATTGTTTGCACTTGCCTTAGCATTTGTACTTTATGAATAATCGGTTTTTTTTTTCTTGAACCGATTGCAGCCTAGTGCAGACTTGCCCCTTTACCTCAGTACTTCAGGGTGATCTTCTGAAGACAGGGCTATTTTCTTACATAACCACAGGACAAGTAAATTACTATCATAGACCTTTAAGTTAGGTAGAAATTAACAGGCAGTCAGAGGGGGACTGAGTCCTAGAAGGAGTGAGTGCAGGAGATGAGACACCAAAATTGAGGCTGGAGACGAATTGGAAGAAGAGAGCTAGGCCTGCAGGCCTCCCAAGAGATAGACAGTAGCTTGAGACTGTATTGTAATCAGCACCGCCTGATCCAGTGAGCCTAGATAAGATGTCAGATGCATAGGTGCGTGACTAAAACACCCGGACCCAGACTTCTATCCCTTCCCCAAAATGCCTTTGATCTTTCTACATTAGAAGTTACAGATAAGTTAAAATTAGCATTGCCCACTATATACCCTTGTTATGTGTCTAGCTTCCCTATTAGATCAATATTGGCTAAGCTACTATGCTTTAACCTAATAGATTGGCTTCAGCTTGGCCCAGAGTGGTCTCATATGTGGTCATTTTGTGTATAAAAACACCCAAAGGGCCTCAGCGGCAACCCACTTTGGTGACTCCTGTCTCTCAGGAGCTTTCTTCTCAGTAAACTTTTTCTTACTCTTAACCTTCTTTATCCTCATATCCATTTTTCAGTTACTGAGAGACATGAACTCTGCACATCTGATAAGAGGTTCGGAGCCACTTCCCTGTGACATCAGGACACTTTATTGACAATAGTTGTATTATCTAATCCATAGTTCAGCTTCAGATTTTGCCAGTTGTCCCTATAATGTCCTTTATATCTGTCACCTCGCCACCAATTCAGCATCCCATCCAGCAGTAGGATTTAGTTGTCATGTCTCTTTGGTCTCCCTTAACCTGGAGCACTTCCTCAGGCTTTGTCTTTTGTAATCTTGAGGTTTTAAAAGAGAGACAGGCCTGTCAATTTATGAGACTTTCTGCAAAATGGAAACATGGAGATACTCACTAAAAACAGAACAAGAAATGAAACTAGAGCCAGGCATGGTGGTGTAAACCTGTAATCCAGCTACTCAAGAGGCTGAAATACAGGATCACAAGTTCAAGGATAGACTGGGCAATTTAGCAAGACCATGTCTCAAAAAATAAAAAAAGGCTGGTGATATAACTCAGAGCAAAGGCCCTGGGCTCAATTCCTAGTACTGTAAAAACAAAAACACATAAACAAAACAGAAACCCGAAACCCAAAATGGCTATTAAGAATTTCAAGGTGATAAGACCAGAGGATTAAAGCAAGCCCAGGACCTCTCCGAACCTGCCCCCTCTGGACCCTGGCCCTTCTGAACGAGCCCACAAATCTGGCCCCAAGCACAGGAGCCACTTTATTTTGTAGCATGTGCTTCCATCTTCCTTTGAGATGCTGCTTTTCCTCAGGCCCCTCATCCTGGGGCAGTGTCCAGGGTTTGAGTATTGGTGCTATGCACAGGCCACCCCAGGAGCCATTGCAGTCTGGTTGGCTGTTGGTACCACAGGGATGCCGGCCAGGCCGGGACCTTTCTGTCTGCAGGCAGCACTGCTAGTGCTTCCATCCAGGCCTCAGTGAGAGCACCTGATTCTTTGAGTCAGTGTGTGATCAGGGTCAGTCTGCTGGTTTGGATAGTGTCCTTCCCTTCTAAAGGCATGTCCTTCCCAGAACTTCAGAGTGTGACCTTATTTGAATACTGGATGTTTGTGGACCTAATTAGTTAAGATGAGGGCACACTGGAGAATGGATCCTAAGTCCTCCCTGACTGGTGTCTTCTTGAGAAGAGACAGGGATACATGTAGAGGAAGAAACCTGGCCATATGAAGAGGTATGGCAGAGCCTCAAGTGATGTAGCCACAAGAAAGCAATGGCTAAAATTGCTGGCAACCACCAGAGGCTACAAGAGAGGTACGGAACAGAGTATTTGTGATCTCCCCTCTTCTTCTGGAGATTGATGCATTTTTCTCAAGCTTTCAGAGAGAGAAAGCATGACCCTGCTGACCCTTTGAGTTTGGTAACTAAGATAATTAGGGACCTCAAATGGGTCCTGTCTTAGTTACGTTCTCATCACTGAGACACAATACCTGCCACCAACAGCTCTGAGGAGGAAAAGTTTATTTTGATTGGTAGTTTTCAGTTCAGAGCTGGCTGGCTCCAAGGCAGGGTGGAATGGCAGAAGTCATGGCAGAGGAGAAACAGCTCATGACGTGGCAGTGGGAAACAGAGAGAGATCAAGGGAGAAGGGAGAGAGATTTACTTTCCAGGCCATGTTCCTCCAACCAAGCTCCAAATCTCAATGTCACATTTAGGTATAAAGTCATCACCAGACTAATCCATTGGTGACTCTCACACCCCCATGATCCAATCACTTCCCACCTATGATTAAAGAGGGTTTAAGGGGACATCTAGATATAAACCATAAGAGTTCCCCAAGAATGGCTGTGATCCCTGAACTAACTATAATTTACTTCACAGTTTTTCTCTTTCTTTTATTCTCTTTCTTTTTTTTTTTTTTTTTTGGTACCAGGGATTGAACTCAGGACCTTGCACTTGCAAGGCAGGTGCAGTGCCACTGAGCTAAATCCCCGGCCCCCATAATTTACTTCAATTAACCACATTCAAAGTGACTCTCTGGCCTGACACAACTATATTGATTTGTTGGAATCATACCTTTCTGATCTTTGTATCTGGGCTGCTCAAAATAATCAGCAAACAAGCCCAGAGCAGCTGTCAATATCTCCGCCTCCAAAAGTCCTCTTTCTTCTCTCAAGGTTTACTAGGAGGCACAGGATTGGTCAGTCAGAGATGAGCTCTGCCTTTGGTTTTCTCCCTGCTTTGATGTCCACTCATCCTTTGCCCAGTTGCTCTAAGCTCATAACAGCTGGCATGGAAATCTTCCTTTTGTTGTGAACAGCCCAAATTCACAGTTCTAGCCAAAGCAGCTCACTGAGCCAGGGGCTTCCCTTCACTCACACCTGCTCTTCAGCCTGGAACACTTCTGTCCCCTCTTAGTATCCTCATCCACATTGTGCCAGTGTTTGTTCAATGGAATGAGCACCTCACCCCTGCTCTGTGCTGATGAAACAGAGCTGAAGTGGACAAACAGGTCCCCAGTCTCACGGAGCTTCAGTTTTCATGGAGAGACAGACATAGAACAGGTGTGTGGTGAGGGCAAGAGGCAAGGGAGCACGACATACAGAATGAGGTTATGGGCCTGGCAGTGGAGGACTCTCCAAGCCTTGAGGACTGCGGCAGCAGAACAGAAAGAAGGTCCCATGTGGGGACATGGGCCCAGAGCCTGCAGATGGGAGGAGCTGGACAGGAGCAGCAGGAAGATGGGCATGAGGCAGGGGACCTTTCTGAAGCCCTGGTTCTCACCTCTTTGGCTGTCCTGCCCAGAAGAAACTTGGTTCTCAAATAGGGACACCAGTTTGTTCTGGAGTCTGGAAAGCCAAAGTTGCTTTTATAAAGCCTTTCTTAGGAATTATTACAGGATCCGTGTCTTTGGTCTGTGTTGCATGGCATCAATTATATAAAGGGCTATGTTGGTATTTATCCCAGAACCTGGCTTTGAGGTTTTGACAGGCGGGGAATTCTGTAATATGCTCCATGTTTGGCAGGTGGCCCTCAGGTTCAGTTGAGCACATCAGGGGCCCCTCAATGTGTGAACTTGGTATGTGTGAAGGTGCCAGCTGGCCAAAGCAGACACCTGCTAAGACTTGGACCTTTTCTGTTCTTTTTTTTTTTTCAATACTGAGGGTTGAACCTAGGGGCTTCATGCTGAACTACATCACCAGCCCTTTAAAAATTTTTTTATTTTGATACAGGGTCTCACTAAGTTGCCAGGCTGGCCTCAAACTTGCAGTCCTCCTGCTTCAGCCTCCAAGAGCTTGGGGGTTATAAGTACATGCCTCCACACTCAGTTTAGGATTCCCTTTTCTTGAAAGTGACTTGTACACACAGGTTCTCCTGTAGCACTGCCTGCCCTGGTTTGGTAACTTAAGCCTTCTGCAATGCATTGGCTCAGGCTTCAGTGACTAATCCATCCCCAAGTCAGGAAGGATGGGGGTGGGGTAATTCTCCCCTAATCCCTTTATAGTCAGCTGACTTCTCACAAAGTGCGTGTCTGTCTCAGTAAATTCCTGCTTGTGAAGTAATTCAAAAGAAATCCTTGAAGCATCTCGAGTGCAAGTGGGTATTAAATTCTACCTCCTGGTTCCCCAGAGAAAACAGCAACCTCAGAAGCAAGTCTAACCTGTCAGCAGACTCCAGAAACATCCTCTGGGCCTGACAATTTAAGAGCAATTGTAGGAAAGTGTGTCCAAGGGATCACAGGGAGGATTAGACAGCGGAGACCACCTTTCAGATGAGAGATTTAGAAGACCCACTGCCCACATCCACACTTCGGTTGTCCAGCTGGGCACAGAGGCACAAGTAACACTTTAATTCACACTGAGAGGTACAACTCAGTGAGCGGAGGTACAACTCATCGCAGGTGAGCTGCAGCGGTTGTCCACCTGGAGGCAAAGCAGGGCCATGTCCTCACAGTCCTTCCCACCTGGTTCTCTACCCTGCAGCCTGGTTTTGACCCTTGTTTGCATGCCCCATCATAGCACCACAGACAACAGCTGGACCCATGAGAAGTTTCTGGAAGGTCTTTTCCCAAATGCTGAACTACCATTCAGATGCCTTCACGCTGAAGAACGGTGAGCTGGGAATTCAAGAACCCCAAGGAGCCAGCTGCCCTTCCTGCTGCTTTGGGATATGCCCTTATATGTGACATTAGCAGCTTGGGACTCATTATGTGAAAGATGCTGCAAACATAACCCTCACAGCAGTGGAGGTAATGCTGAGGTTGGTGCTGTTTTCTCTGAGTTACTGAGGAGGAAATGAGTTACTGGGAAGTCAGTGACTATGCCCAAGGACACAGTGGTGGGGTCTCGATCCAGGCACTCTGAGCACAGAGCCACATCACTAACTACTATATTATACTGCCTCTCTAAGATGATGTGACCATGACGTGTTGTGACATCATGGCCTCTTCACAGCCTGTGCTGTCTCTCCCAGTCCTCTTGGGTCCCAGCTCATGACTCAGTCTGTTCTTCTCAGAAACACTTGCTTCCCCCACTGGCCTTTGCAGTAGCTGACATCAGAACAAACAGCCTTTAAGGCTGTGTGTGGGTGCTGTGGTTTGAAAGTCCCTTCCAAAACTCATGTTGCAATTCAATTGCTGCTGTAACAATGTAAAGAGGTGGGATCTGGCCAGGTGCAGTGGTGCACATCTGGAATCCCAGCTACTTGGGAGGCTGAAGCAGGAGGATCACAAGTTTGAGACCAGCCTGGGCAACTTAAGGGAACTCTGTCTGAAAACAAAGGGAGACTGGAGATTTAGCTCATTGGTGGATCATCCTTGGGTTTGATCCTCAGTATGAAGGGGGAAAAGGAAGGAAGTGAGACCTGAGAGAAGTGATTGGGTCACAGGGGCTGGCATCTTCTGAACAGATTCATGTCATTATCTCTGGAGTGGGTTGGTTATCATGACAGCAGATCTGGTATAAGGTTAGTCCCTTTTGCCCTCCCTCTGTTTCTTGAATGCTCACTCTTCCTTCCATCATGGCACAAAGGCTCACGCCAGATGCTGTGCTCTTTCTTGGTCTTCCTGGTCTCCAGAACCAGCTGTGCAGACTGCACTGTTGACTGCTGCTGCTTGTAGAGGAACAGTGGTGTTCTGTTATAGATGGCGAAAGCAGACTAAGACAGTGGGTCTTTAGAAAGTGTGTCGAGTGGGATTAGGGGCTTGAAACAGAGACAGAAGTTGTCCAAGGTCACCCAAGGGCTGAGAAATGAGACCCAACTCCTGACTGACTGTGTGCTATGTGCATTCATTCATCCGCTCACCCCAGCCCCTCCCAGCCACCCTTTGGACCCTGTCTGCTTGGGGTCTCCAAACAGCCTGATGCAGTGACGTAGGGTGGCCTGCTGGCCTCTTTCGTCCTTGGCTCCTCCTCAGGATGTGACCTGGGCCCCAGAACCTAAGGAAGAAGATCTAAAGGGGCAGCAGTCATGGAGCCTTGTGACAATGTGGACGGATGACGCTCTCCATGCACCAAAGGCTGATCTGCCAGGATGTAGAGGAAGCCGCCCAGGGCCGCAACTGCTGTGGCAGTGCTGTGGCTGGAACAGCCATCTGGTGGGGAGGAGGAAGAACCCAATGAGTGCCACTTCAGCCCCTTCTTCCAAACAACCTATCCTATCCATCGTGTAGAAGATGCTTTTCCAGTGTCATCAGGCCAACCTGCCCAGTGCCATGTGGGTGCTTCGGTGCCATGTGAGGACCCCGTTTGTTGGAATCATTTATCAAAGGATGTTGGATGCCTGCTCTCTGAACTGGCTGTTCCACTCCCCCACCCCCGTGTCTACAATATGCTCTTTTACTTTTTATTAATAAAAAATGGAAACTAGTGTCTTTTCACCCTTCCTTATCCCTGCCTGACCATCTCTCTCCCTTTCTTCTACATGATTCCTTTCCTTCCCCATGTAACCATGTCCCACTCTTGGTTTCTCTGGATTGTGGGCCAACTGTGCAACATCTCATCATAGCAGGACACTTGGGGGCACAAGGGACACTATTCCTCACGGCTCCAGACAGCAGGTGTAAATCAGGGCAGCCGGCGATCACCAGGCGGCACGGCCCCCGGGACTGTCTATACCACTTGCCCATCAGTTCTTCTCTGCCTTTCCTTGCTCCAGATGCTGCACATGGACCCCTCCCTCCATAGTGTACTTCCAGGGCACCTTGGCTGAGGCATGTGGCAAGGGTTGTCCAACAGGAGGCACTGCCAGATGAGAGAAGAAGCAAGGCTCTGCTCACCCGTTCCCCCAGTGCCTCCTGCAGGGTCAACTTCTGGGCTTCCCATTTTTTTCTGTGCTCTTCCAACCCCCTAAGGCCCATTCCCTACATTAAATTCCCTCTGTGAAGTTCTGATGCAGATTCTAGTCCATGACCTGACTCTGAGCAAGCAGGGCTATCTCTGCACTGCTCCACTCCTGGCTGAAACTTCTATGCTTCTCTGAGACGAGCTCTCTGAACAGAGTCCTCTGTCCCTCTGAACTGTCTGAGAGGACTCTTCCCTCTATCCCCCAAACAGGAAGGCCCTGGGACACTATCCTTCAGCAAGAGGGGCTTTTCCTTCATGGTGGTCACCTGTTCAGAAGAGAAGAAACAGAGCCAGACCTTGGCTTTCAAAGGTGTCTTGGTTTCATGCCAAGAAGCCCCCTCACCTTTTGTGGTGCTGGGGATTGAACTCAGGGCCATTGCACTGAGCTACATCTCCAGTCCTTTTAATTTTGAGTCACAGTCTCCCTAAGTCACCCAGGCTGAGCTGGAGCTCATAGTTCTCCTGCCTCAGCCTCCTAGAGTGCTGAGATCACCGGCCCCAATTCCCCTGGGCATTTTTGTTACCTGTGAATTGTTTTTCTCGCCTCTTGACTCTTCTGAGAGCATGCTGTTGGTACAGACGGTCTGCATGTCTGACTTCATCCCCAGCAGCTGGAGAAGACCAAAAGGTGAACTCGTGATCTTTAAGCGGTGCTCGATACATCTGTTCCCCTCCTGACACCACAAGTGATGCAGATTTTCTTTGAGAAACTGAAGCTATTCCAGAAGTTTCTTCCCACATCTGCCTGCAGTTCCTTCTGTGTGGCTTAAATTTGTCATCTGCTCCTGGTTTTTCAGATCGTGTTCCCAAACCACCCCTACCAGAGGTGCTGGATGGGGGTGGAATGGAGGAGGATACAAGTCCCTGCCCCACCTCATCCCCTCTCTGGAGGTCTGACCGGCCTGAGACTCTTCATTTCGCAGACTGTTCTCAAAACTACTGCGTTTGCTTCTTTGAGGATCCAAGTGTCCTACTGAGGACCCCAGCATTCATTTTCAGGGAGCCTGCCTTCCTCCAGGCATGGGGCTGGTGGTGTCACGTGCGCTGTCTGTTCCCTATCACACTGGGGATAGTGGCTACAATTATGCTCGTCTAACTATTGGTGGGGAAACTGAGGCCCAGACAGTGAAATGACTTACTCCAAAGATGACCAACTGGCAAGGGTCTTGTGGCTGGCATCCTGCACCTCTCCACCTTCAACGTCACCTCCCTGTACCTTCCCTCAGGCCTGACTTTCCCCACAGCACAGACACTGTCTGGTGCTTTAGTAGGTGCTGAGTTGAAGGAATGAATTTGTTAATGCAGTTGTAGGGGCTCTCATATTCTGACAGGACTGCCTCCCATTCTGAAAAACATTGGCTCCAAAAGCTCTGAGCCCATTCCTACTGTGTGTGTGTGTGTGTGTGTGTGTGTGTGTGTGTGTGTGTACAGGTGCATGTGCATGCATGTATGTACTGCACATCTCTCTTAGCACTTTGTACCAGTGCATTCTCCCTCCTCCCCAGCCAGGGCAGAAGCACAGCTTACCAGGCACTCCGAAGCATCCTTCCTGTGGCTTCTGCCAGCTGAGAATGGCCTCCAGCCACCGGCGTTTATAGAAGTCAGAGAAGCCGCCAATTCCGCAGAACATGACTGGAAGCAAATGCAGGGGACCGTCATAGGCCTGCCATCCCTGGCCTACCTCCTCCCCTCTCTGGGCCCACCATAGTGCCACGTGCCTTCTCCTGCCTGGGGCTGGAAGGAGCCTCCACCTTAGCAACTGGGGATCCCAGGCTCTGTCCTGCCCCCCACTTAGGCCTCTCCTCAAGGAAAGGAGCAGCCCTCATGGGCTCTCTTTCTGCATCATCTCTAAGGCTGTGGGGGTCTGTTTGCCAGTCAGCTTGTTAGTCTGTCCAGAACTTCATCACCGGATCAGCCTTTGGGGACACAGTCACACAGTGACAGGTAAATATAGGATGCTCAGTTACATTTGAGTTTCTGATAAGCAACAAATACAATTTTAGTGCAAGCATATCTCATGCTAAGCATATACATTATACAGGATGTAGTTATATGAAGATTTTATTCATTACTTATCTGAAGTTCAGATTCAACTGAGCACCCTGTAGTTTTACTTGCTTAATCCGGCAACCCCGCCTGTGGGTTTGTGTGTTTGCCCCAATTATGAACACCCTGCTGCTTCGTCCCAAGGTCAGAAGCTCAGGCGCACTGTTTTCCATGAAGAGGTCCTGGATGGGGTAGGCATATCTGATGGCTTCAGCTCTCTGGTTCAAGTCCATCATGTTGGCACAGAAGATGCTGATGTAGTGCTGGCTCTGGCTGAACAGTCCCTTTGTGCATCCTTTCTGGGGGACAAACATCCAGAGACAAGGGACTTGGTGTGCAGGAAAATGTACACTCTGTTGCAGAGAGCCCTGTAGTCTGAGACAGTCCTGCAGGGGCTATGTTGGGGCAGGTCTCTCCTTCCCCAGGAGTTCTTCCTTGTCACACTGCCAGCTTGTTCCATTACTGGGGGTCACGAAGAGTTGGGTTCAAGTTCTGACTTGGTATGACCTGGGCCCAGCTCTGCAACTGCCTGCTGTGAACACTGCGTCTCATTGTGAGCTAACCCTGCTCTGGCTTCAGTGCTACTCAAAGTGCAGGCTTCAGACCTGGCTAGTTACTATCCATGATGGAAAAGAAGAACGAGCATTGAGAACAGGATTTAGAAACTTCTGCAGCAATGGTCAGAGTAACCTTTGACCTGTTGAAGGTAATAAACATAATAATTCAGCTTGTAATTTGGTTCTTATTACATTTACAAAAATGCTGGTCTGTTGCAGCTTTCAAGGAAATAGTAATTTTAAAAATCCCATCAAACAAAGGATTTCTAGGCTCTGAATAAGATTTTTGGACTAGAGCCCAAGTTTTTGGTATAAATAAAAATACATGAGGTGATCAAAATTTATGGTGAATGTTTAAATTTAAAAAATTTTAGCACTGTGGCACCATGCCTACCTGACAAGCACAATGAGTTTGATCCCCAGTACTGGGGAAAAAAATAAATTAAAAAATTTTTATTACAATAAAAGACACATTACTGGGTCGGGGATTTAGCTCAGTGGTTCCGCTGCTTGCCTCGAAAGCACAAGGTCCTGAGTTCAATCCCTGGTACCGCCCCCCCCCCCCAAAAAGAGGAAAAAGACACATTGCTATGAATTCCCCTCAAAAGACTCCTCCTTCGTTCCAACACACTTATCCCGCTGTTTTTCCCACTTTCTGAAGCAGTTCTGGGAGCTCTTTATTGTGAGTGTCTTTACATGGTGTGACCAGAAGTATGACGGATGCAGCTGCCGAGTGCCATCCAAGGGAAAGGCGGGCTTATGAAAACATGACCATGTGTCTTCATTCCTCTTATTTACCAGATCTGGTACTGTGCAACTCTGGATCTTCTCCAAAGTCAAAATGACCATGAAAGGTCAATGTTTTGAATCAATTCAGTACATTGAGAAACCCACAACAGTGCAACTAAAGACAAGAGAGAGGACTTCTGGATCTGCTTCAGAAAGTGGTAAGAATGATGGGCTGTGTTTGGAACAAAGGGGAGTATTTTGAGGGGTATAATGGTGATGTGTCTTATATTGTAGTACATTAAAAAATTTAGACATTTACCATGTACTTCAATTACACCTTGTACACATAATTTAGTTCATAATTTGGTTGTTTGTTATAGTTACAAAAATATTGGTCTGTCTCACCAAATAAATAGCAATTTGAAAATTCTGTCAAGCAAAAGATTTCTGATCTCTGAATAGCTTTGGGATCCACAACTTTAAAACCTGCCCCTCCTTTCGCCTAACAAGTTCAATTTGTTTTTGTTTTTTTAATGAGGCTGAAACAAGTAAGTGAATATAAAGCTTAGTGTCTTCCACATTTCAAACTGTTACTTTGTGTCATTTTACCATAGAAGTTATCACCCCAAGAACAGCAAGGACACCCAGGCTGCTGCTTCTCCCTTCCTTCTCCCCAATTCCTCTGTCCCAACTGTCTTCATCTAAGGGCAGCCCTGCTGTCACTACCATCACTGCCGCTTGGCTTGGTCTCCTACAGGTGGCTACCAGCCAAATTTGTTCAAGTTCTTTTATATTCATCTGAGGTTTGCTGAGCTCTTCTTCCTGCTTCCTCTGTTTTATTCTCTCTCTCTTCCTCACTGTCTCATGTTTTTCCAATGCCTACCATCCAGTTCAGCTTGCTGAGTTATCTGGCCAGTCCAACAGAATCCCTAATCTTACCTCCCCTCATTTGCAACTTAATCAGCTCAATTAATTATACAGAATTTTCTCTCACTTTTCCCTCTTGATGGCTGAAGCACAACTACAAAATACCACTTGATTTCCTGGTGTGCAGCAGACAGAAGTATGCTGCCAGGAATCTCCCTACCTTCCCCTGTCCTTCCTACCCGGCACTCACCATTCTGGCCCAGAGGAAGAAAAGCAGCTGGTGGGATAGGTAGTAGCCGGAGCAGCCAGGCTTGGTCATGAGGGTCCTGCAGAAGTCTGACAGCCCACAAGGCTGGCTGCTGGTGTTCCTGGGGGAAGCCATGCCAGGCTGTTGAGGGTGGTGCTCCAGGCCCAGCCTATCTGCCCAGTTTGTGATCCATCCCTCCCTACGGCATAGGTTCCAGGTGTAGGTATTCTTTCTGGGAGGCTGAGGCAGGAGGATCACTGTGAATTCGAGGCCAGCCTATACTACATAGTGAGTTCAAGGCTAGCCTGAACTACACAGTGAGACACTGTCTCCAAACAAACACACACACACACACACACACACACACACACACACACACACAGTTTGAGCCCAGCCTGTGCAACTCAGCAGCTTATTGAGACCCTATCTTAAAATAAAAAAATAAAAAATAAAAAGGACTAGGGAGGTAGCTCAGTGCAAAGGCCCCGAGTTCAATCCCCAGTATTGCAAAACAAAACAAAACAAAACAAAAACAGATGTCTTGTGAACTGATTTGCTAAATCAGCACCCCTAGGTCTGGGGAGATGACCCTGGAGCTGTCCTGAGCTTGGGAAGCCATAAGGGGCCCAGACTCAAAAGTCATCTTTCCCACCACTGCCCTAAACGGCAGACTCTGAACCCAGACAGCTTGGGGGGCTGGGCCCCACATGCGCATTCCTCTTGTGACAAACCTCTCCCATAAACAGGAGTTCAGCAGGGAGGTCCCTCACTGGAGCACAGCCCCCTGGCAGCCCAGCTGTGGTCTGGCCCAGACTCTTCTCTGAAGGGTGGAGAAGACCTGCTGCCCATTCCTCCCTAGGCCCTGCATTGGGCTGCCCTGGCCTTGCTCCAAGCCCACCCAGCTGCAGATAAAGGGGAGGAATAAACTGGGCTCAGCCCTGCTTTCCTGGACTCACAGCCCCGCTGGGAGACAGGGCTATATGACAGATGTCATGTATGTATGTCATGCCTGTAATGATAGGGCCGTATGACAGATGTATGACGTCTGTATGACAGATGTTGGGGGGGGGTGGTTCTGGGGGCAGTATGGCCCAGGGGAGTGAGTTACCTACCACACAGTCTTAGGGGTGAATGGGGATGGGATGGGATGGGCCAGGTGGGAGGGGAAAGGCTTTGCTTGGGGTGGGGATAGTGCCTTTGAGAGTTCTCCGAGGCCCCAGACGCTGGATCTGACTGGTCTGGGGTCCTGGAAGGGCTGCAGGAGCTGGGGCTTTGTCCTGGAGCCAGGGCAAGTTGAGGGAGCTTTGAGCTGGGGAGCAGTTCAGATAAGACTGGAATGGGGTGGGAGAGCACAGCCGGGTGCCTGCCGAGAAGCTGTGCTGAGGAGCTGGTGCACAGACCCCTGGAGGCAGCCCTGCGGGCTTAGAGAACAAGCACGGCAGGACGCTGGTGGAGAAAACAATTTGGGGTTCCAGTAAGCCAAGAAGTCTGGCATACCCTGTTCCCAACAGCAGCACCAGGCATGAGTCGCTGCTGTCCTCTGAGAAGGAGTCCTGCAGCTTGGGCCAGGGGTAGACTAGGGAGGCGTTGGTCTGCGTCCAGGTGCGGGGTAGCTTCCAAAACCCGGGCTGCAGGCTGGGCTGGAACTCTGGCAGGGGGGAAAGCAGCTGGTGTGGGGGAAGGGCGAGAAATGACCTGGAGCTGTGGTGACCCCAGGGCAGGGGAGTTCCCCTAACCGGCCAAGGAACTTCCCCACCCCACACCCCACCCTGGCTGCCCTGCCCAGCCTCCAGCCCAACCTCTTGGGTGGTGGTGGTGGGGACTGAAACACTCCAGAAATTCCTCTCTTAAAGTAAAAAACAAACAAAAATCAGGACAGTTTTTCCCTAGTCAGTAGGGATGGTGATGAGACAGGCTGTTACTACATCTGCTGCATCCCATGGAAACTTGAGACCCATGCGAGGGACTGAAGACCCCTCGGGTTCTGTTTCACAGTGCAGCGCTCCCAACATAGATGCTTGGCAAGCGGCTTCTTACTCTACCGGTCCCATTCGATTGTAGGATGGGACAGTCCTCACTTCTGGGTGTGTAGGGGTCAGATGAGGGTGGAGACCTCTGCTGCAGAGGAGGAGGAAGGACAGGGTGGGTCACCGAGGTGGGGCTGTAGTCTGAGAATAAGGTGTGCAGTAGCTCATGACCCCCACATGTCTGTTGTGAACCCCAGGGACAGGCCTAGAGCCTTGTGAGGTGCTGCTGTTCTATATATCCCAATCCAGGGCAGGATTATAGGGTAGGATCTCCTGTAGGGTCCCTTGAGGGTGGTGAGATGGACGCTCGGCATTACGAGGCACAGGAGAGATGCTGGCATGATGCTAAGGTTTGCTGTGCAATGGGGTGACTTGCCTTTTAGATACACCACCCTCAGGAAGGGCCAGGGCAGATCTATCCCTATGGTCCAGGAAGAAGGCCCCCTATCGATAGGTGGTGGGAGACATCCTGCTTGTCCCTTGGTGTGCGTGGGATAGGTCATTGCGATTGGAGTCAGGGTGACCAGCATTCCAGGGTGTAGCTTGCTGGGCTGGCAGGAGACAGGTGTGGACCCTCCCACTCTGCCTCACTCTAGGAGTCTTCAGTGACTCCCCCAGATGCGGTCTTCCTGAAGCAATGCCCCCCGCCCCAGGGTTACCTCGTAGGTACTCAGGATCACTGAGATTCAGGTAGGCGATGGAGCTGTGGAGGAGAGGGGCCACCTTGTCAGCCAGGTGCCCAGCACGCAGACTCAGTGGCTGCAGCAGGGGGTCCAATGCCCATGCCTCCTGTGCACCTCGGAGCTGCACTGGGGGAGCAGAGGTTGTCATTCACCAGCTGCCTGGCCAAGAGCTCTTCAGCTCTCCCTGAACGGGCCTGGGGAGGATTCCCTGAGCTGACTGGAAACCAGGCCTTTGAGGGTCAGTACTTCCCTGACCTGGCTTTGTAAGGATTAAATGAGCTGATGGGTGAAGATTTAGCATTACCCATTGCACAAAGCAAGCCCTTGAGAAGGTGTGGCCCTCAGTATTAACTGCAGAGATTTGGGCTCTGGAGGATGAGGGAGGGCTTCAGGGCTGCTAGAGGCAGCTGGAGGAACCCTTTGCTCTTGGTGTCAGTGGCCACTCATCTACCACTGAAAGCATTTGTATAGGTCCCTGAAAGTACTGTGGGTTGGAGACTCGGTGTCTGCCGTTCCCAGCTGGGAAGTTCGCTCTGGGGGATTGTGATTGTTAATCATTTCTAGAGGAGTTTGATGTAGGGCTGGGTTAAGTGAAGGGGACAGTACTATGCTTCTGGCCTCCCCTAGTCCTGGCCTAGAGCAGAGCAGGCCTGGAAGATGAGGTAAGATTTCGGGGGAGCAGAGATAGGGAGAGGACACAGGGTGGCCACGTGGCTGCAAGGACACAGAGATGCCCACTGCCTAAGCCCAGGCTGATGCCCAGACAGGGTCCCTGACCAGGGCATGGTGATGCATACTTGTAATCCCAGCACTCTGGGAAGCTGAGTCAGGAGGATCACAGTTTGAGACCAGCCTGGGCAATTTAGTAACTTAATGAGGCCTTGTCTCAAAACAACAAATAAAAATGGCTGGGGCTGGAGCTCAGTGTAAAGGCCCTGGGTTTAATCCCCAGTGCCTCACTTTGGTGAGCGTGGCCTTCTGGGAGTGGCTCCTTGAACACGTATGCATGTCCCTGGCCAGGCTTGGCCTGTCTCCAGACTACTCTTTGAGGATCTTACATCTGTCAAGGCTAAACAAACACTGAGCTCTGTTCTCAGAACCTTCAGATGCCTTTGGCTAGCAGTGGAGGAAGCCCAGCAGGAACTCAGGGTTTCCGTGTTGTTCCCAACTACCCTTACACAGGAGGAGCAGCCTTCCCGTAAATACCCACTAAAAGGGCTCTCTCTGCCCCTCATTCATGGTGTGTCAGATGGCAACTCACAAATGGATCACTTTCTTCTAAGAATATAATTTTCAAATCTTTTCTCATGTTGCTTTTAAATCCTTCCTACTTCTAAAACATTTGATAACAGCTGGCTGAGCCCTAAACACCAGGAAACATAGCCCCCTGTTCCCTTTCTTCATAGCCAAAGCAGCCCATTCTGATTCCAGGAGGTTACCAGGTCCCAGGGGTCAGAGAAGGGCAGGGGACATGGCCAAGAACTGGTTTCCCCGGTGGCCAGCTGGGATACAGGCTCACTCACCTTCCAGCACCTGGAACCCCACCACACCATCCAGGTTGATTTCAGGCAGCCGCTCCTCCAGGAATGTGGTGGCTCTCTCCAGTGCAGACAGGATCAGGCCCGAGAGGGTGGCCTTGCCCTCTGTGTTGTCCAGCTGTGACAGTGAGGAGGGCTGCAGTGACAGCGGGGACAGCAGTAGAAGGAGCACCAGCCCTGGCCTGGCCATGACTGACTTTTTGGTCATACTGATCACATCCTGTAGCACTGGGAGCTCTCTGCCAGGAGCCTCGACCCGCCCTCTGCCCATCCCCTCCTCCACGGACCTGGCAGGGCAGAGAGCTCTGGGCAGGGTGGCTGCAGAGGACAGAAGGCTCGGGGGTGGTCATAGCCAGATCAGGCAAGTCCTGGACATGAAGCCCACTGGCTGCCCAGTGGGGAGAGGAACTCACCTGTCCTTCTGGCCCCAGATTCTCCATCATTGACCTGGAAATGTTACTTGCAATTCAGAAATTCAAAAGCCCTGAAAAGCAAAGTCTGTTAGAAAACAAGTTGGGAACAAACTCATTGGTGGCCACACGTCTCTTTGCAAGCTTCTTTGGAGGACCACTGTCCAGTGGAAATAGAATCAAGACACAAAGGTGAGCCATCTGGGCCTTTCAAAACTGTCTACCAGCCACATTTCAAAAAAGCAATGATGACTATAATCCCAGCACTGAGGAAGGCTGAGGCAGGAGGATGACACATTTGAGTCTCACCTGGGCAACTTAGTGAGACCCTGTCTCAAAATAAAAAGTAAAAAGGGCTGGAAGTGTAGCTCAGTGGGAGAATGCCCTAGTGCCACAAAAACAAAAAACCAAAAACCAACCAACCAAACAAGCAGGTGAAATTAAGTATCTTATTTGACCCCAATATACCCAATATCATTCAATAGTAATCAATAGAAAAATGATTATTTTTCACATTACATTGTTTTTTCCCATAGCGTGGGAATAAAACATGATTTTTTGAAATCAGGTGAGCATTATTAGACTTGCAGCACATTTCAGTTCTGACTGGGTGTAGCAGACATCCCTGCCCAGTACTAGCAGGCTATGAGTGGCATTTGCTTCTTGCTTTCCATAATTCAGCTATATTGTTTTACATCAGGAGTCAGACTGAAGCTCTACGTGACTTAAGTGGGCATGTCAGCTGGAGGACTGGGCAAGTATAGCCCCTCTCCCAGTGGCTGCCACGGAAACCTAGGCCCTGGTCTGTGAAGTGGCAGGGCTCTGCTGAGTCACATGCAGCTGAGGTCAGAGTGACCCCAATTAAAACCCTTTCCCCTGAATTATGGCTTCTCACTGACCCAATGGGTTGCTTGTACCGGGTCTCAGTACTTGTTTGTTCTATCCTAGCAAGATAAGCAGTGCTTACTCCCTAACAGCTCTGCCTGGCTCCATCATGCCAGGTGTGCAGCAATATTTTATTAGATGACTTCAAAGCATATCTGTCTCCCTATTCCTTCCCACAGTTGTATTCAATAAATATTGGATGCACTTGGGGGCCTTTGTCTTTATTAACCAGAGCAGCATTGATCAGGTCCGAAGGCCTAGCTTCTCTCTAAATTTTGTTTCCTGTCTTTATTCTTTAATTTGCCTTGTGCTGTAGTGGCTCACTGGAGGCCAGGAGTAGTGCAGGCATTCTGGCAAGGTCCCCTTCCCCATTCCCTATAACTGGGCACATTTCAGGGCTCCTCAGGCAATGCACCTTGACCTGGAAGACCTAGAGCCCTTATTCAGCTCACATAGCAGCAGCACACATCTGTTTTCCACAGAAATTTTAATGCGGATGTCCTATGTGCTGTCCTGAAACTTGCCAGGACTCTTAGGAGTGTGTGCCTTATTGTCTTTCAAAAAATCCAAGAAAACAAAACCAAACCTGATTTCAGAAAGATAAATGGCCCCAAGAGCTTCAGTGAAGAGATACAGATATTTTAGTATATGTGCTGCCGAAGCGAGCACAAGAGATACAGATATTTTTAAAAAAAGAGGTACAGATGAGAGCTGGGCATGATGGTGCACACCTATAATCCCAGCTACCCAGGAGGCTGAGGCAGAAGAACTGAATATTTGAGGCCCGCCTCAGCACTTTAGTGACTTAGTGAGACCTTGTTACAAAACAAAAAATGTAAAAAGGACTGGGGATGTAATTCGGTGGTACAGCATTTGCTTAGCATGTGTAAGACCCTGACTGAGTTCAGTTCCCAGTAAAGAAGGAAAAAAAAAAAGTAAAGAACTGCAGATGTATAATAATAATGAAAATACCACTAAAATGTGTATTTGATGCTCCTTGTGGGCAGGTTAGAATTTCTTAAATGTTTAGTTTCACTATTATCCTTTCCTTTACGCTGGGAGATTTTTAAAAAAATTTCCTCAAACAGTAAAAATAGCAGCCTTATACTGTTGTGGGAAATAGGGAGTTGAAATTACCTTTCAGAGACCAGGAGAAATGGGTAAAATAAGAAAAAGTTTATTGGCTCTGCTTTCCTGCTTCCTTCCCTTGAGCAGTTTCCCTTTTGCCATGCCATCTTGCCTTGGAGCCAGCTCACCATGGACTAAAACCTCTACAAACTGTGAGCTGAAATAAACTTACCCTCCTTTAAAAAAAAAAAAAAAGGAAAAGTTTATTGCCAGGCAATGGACAGCCTCAGGAAATGAGTCCTTCTAGGCTGACCACGAGTTGAGCAAGTTTCTCCTTTATATACCGTTTACACAGTAAGAAGTTCAAGTTGCGGTTCCACAGCTGTGTGGCAAAACAGCAAGGGACCTTTCCATAGCTTCAAGGTTGGGGGCTTACATAAACAATTTCAAGGCTGTTCTCTTATCTTTCTGGGAACAGGCTGCCCTGTCTGAGGGGAAACGACTGCCCGTGTGTTTTTTTTAAAACAAGGACAAGTTGACACAGGCGGGGTTTTGCGATAGCTCACACAAAGCACAAAGACAACATATTTCTGCTATATTGCTATTTTAAGCTGACATACGTTCATGGACAGATGTGCTACAGTAATTATTCATTCCAAGTTATGTTTGGCAGCTCCTTCCACTTCAATACCATAAAAACCCGCCAATTAAAAGTGTAAAATTTTGCAATGGTTTGTAACACATTCTTTTTGTGTGTGTGTACAGTATTGGGGATTGAATCCCGGGCCCTTTGCACTGAGCTACATCTCCAGCCCTTTTGGATTAAAAAAAAAAGAAAAAAGAAAAAAACAGCTCTGAACAGAGTTTCTCTAAATCACTAAGTTGGAGGGTAGCCTCAAACTTGCAGGCCTCTTGGGTCAGCCTCCCAGAATTCTGGAATCTAGTACATTCTTAAAGTTGGGCAACCATCACTGTCAAATTCCAGAATGTTTCCATCACCTCCAAAAGAAGCCCCATACTCACGGATGGTCAGTCCCCACCCCTTTTCCTAGCAGTGGCACCCACTAATCTACTTTGTGTCAAGCCTTTTCATATAAATGTAATCATATGCAGTATAATTGGAATCATATATATATATATATATTATTTTTTTGCTTTTTTTTCCTTTTTGGTGCTGAGGGTTGAGGTCAAATAGGGTGAGGAGAGCTTGTAACTGACATGGATATCTTTTTAGTAAGATACTGCCTTTCAGTGATGTGTTTTTCAGTTTTATTTTTCCAGAGATAGTATTTACCCCTGAAGCTATTTAGGTGATTTGGATACTGTTCCTGGCTTCTGTGACCTATCTCTGAGCACCTCTGATGCGACTCTGCCTCTAGTCACCCATGTTGAATCTCAACTTGCAGTGCACGGCTGGCTTTATGCTTCTGCCTTCTCCTCAGCCACCAGCCCAGCTGCTGCAAGCTCAGGATCAACCACAGCCACTTCTTAAGTACCACTTGGTCCAGAGGGGCCATTCATCTGTTGATGGACATATGGGCTGCTTCCGTGATCTAGCTATTATAAATTATGCTGCTATACCTGAGTTCGATCCCCGGTACAAAAAAAAATTATGCTGCTATAAACATGGATATTCATGTATCATTGTAATATGATGTCTTTAACTCTTTTGGGAAGATACCTAGAAGAATAGCTTGCTCAAATGGAATTTCTAGTTTTAGTTTTTCAAGGAATCTCCATACTGATTTCCATAGTGGTTGTACTAGTTTATATTCCCAGCAACAATGTAGAAGAGTTCCTTTTTTTTCCCAAAGCCCCACCAACATTTGTTATGATTTGATTTCTTGATGATAGCTATTCCTTCCAATATAAAAGGGAATCTCAGTTGTTTTAACTTGTGTTTCTCTAATGGCCAACAATTGAACATTTGTTTATGTGTTTATTGGCCATTCATATTTCTTCTTCTGAGAAGTGTCTATTCATTTCACTTGCCCATTTTTGATAGGGTCTTTTATTTGTGGGGTGTTAATTTTTTTCAGTTTTTAAAATATATTTTAGATATTAATTCTCTTGTCTGAGGAATTGCTGTCAACTCCACCTACCCCCCATTCTGTAAGTTGTCTTTTCACTCTGTCAGTTGTTTCCTTTGCTGTGCAGAAGACTTTGAATTTGATATGATCCCATTTATTGATTCTTGGTACTATTTCTTGTGCAATTGGGCTTTGCTTCTGTTTCTTCAGAGGAGCTCTAGTCTTTATCTTCACCTTGGATAGCATCTCTTGGCCTCCAGCACAGACTATTCAGCCTTCTGGTGCAGACCCTTCAGCCTTCCATTGCAGACTCTTTGGCCTTCTGATATGGACTTGCATGGGACACTACACTAGTTCCAGGCCTTTGGGTCTAGTCTGACTAGTCTGAGTCATTTGGGTCTCCAGTGTGCAGACAGACCTTTTGCACTCTTCCACACCTGAGTCTATGGGTGGCCTTTATAAGCCAATCTTGTAAATTCTTCTATATTTGTATATCTTGCATTACATCTGTTTCTCTAGTAAGCACTGACTGATGCAAGTAGGGTCATTGTTTCTATTTTAGCATTTAGATCTTTGATCCATTTTTATTTTAATTTAGTACATGTGGTGGATATGGATCTAGATTCAATCTTCTTCAATCATATAGATAGCCAGTTTTCCCAGCACCATTTATTAAAGAGGTACATTTCCTCCAGTATATTTTTGGCCCTTTTTCAAGGATCAAATAGCTGAATGTGCCTGGGGTTGTTTCTGCATCAGCTATTCTGTTCCACTGATCCACATGCCTATTTTTGTGCCAGTATCATGTTGTTTTTTAAAATCAGTGTATCTTTGTAATATAACTTGAAATCCAGGATTGTGATGCCTCCTGCTTTGCCCTTGTTACCCAGGATTGCTTTTACTTTTCTGGGTCTCTCCTGGTTCCACATGAATTAGGATTGTTTTTTCCAGTTCCGTGAGGGATGTTCTTGGTATTTTGATTGGGATTGCATTAAATCTGTGTATCAGTTTTGGGAGTATGGCCATTTTGACATTATTGGTTCTGCAGGGGACATGTTTTCATTTTCTGATGTCATTTTTCCTTTTCTTTGATCTCATTTTTCAGAATATTGTAGTTTTATCATTTTTTTTTTAGTTTTTTCATTTTATAAGTCTTTCACTTCCCTGGTTAGTTTGCTTCCAATGTATTTCATTTATCTGGATATTACTGCCAAATGCATCATTCTGTAATTTCTCTCTCAGTGAGTTCATTATTGGTGTATAAGGATGTTATGGATTTTTGTGTGTTGATTTTATATCCTCTGACATTGCTGAACTTGGTTATTAATTGTAGGAGTCGTTTGGTTAATTTTTTGGTTCTTCTATGTAGAGGATCATGTCATCTGCAAATAATTTGACTTCTTCCTTTCCTACATGTATCCCTTTTATCTATTTTTCTTGCCTGATTGCTTTAGCTAATGTTTCAAGTACTATTTTGAACAGGAGTGGTGATAGTGGACATTCTTGTATTGTTTCTGATTTTAGGTGGAAATCTTTCAGTTTCTCCCCATTTAATATGATGTTGACATTAGGTTTGTCACAGATGATTTTTATCAGATGGAGATAAGGTCTTTCTATATCTATTTTCTTCAGGTTTTTCAAAAAAAATCATCAATGGATATTGGGTTTTGTCAACAACTTTTTCTGCATCTACTGAGATGATCATGTGATTATTTTTCCTTGCTTCTCTTTATGTGATGCCTTACATTTATTGATTTCTTACACCGAACCATCCTTGCATCCCTGGGGTGAAGCCTACTTGGTCATGATGTATAATCTTTTTGATAATTTGTTGCACTCTGTTTGCTAGAATCTTGTTGAGGATTTTTGCATCTGTGTTTATTAAAGATATTGACCTATAATTCCCTGTTTTGGTTGGATTTTTGTCTGGTTTTGGAATCAGGGTAATGCTAGCTTCCAGAATGACTTTGGGAGTACTCCTTCCCCTTCAATTTCAATAAAGAGCTTGAGGAGTATCAGTGCTGTATCTTCTTTGAAGTTCTTGCAGAATTCAGCATCAAGTTCATTTGGACTTGGCCCTTTCTTAATTTTAATTAAGAAACATTTAATTTTTAAAAAATTACTACTTGAATTTCATTGCCTGTTATTGGCGTATTCAGGGTTTTATATTTTTTGGTTATGTTTGGTAATTCATATATATCTAGGAATTACCCATTTCTTCTGAATTCTCCAATTTATTGGCAGATAGTTTTGTGAAGTAGTTGCTAATAATCTTCATTCTTTTCCTTTTGCTGATTCCCTTCCTTTCTCTTCCACTTAACATCTCACCCTATCTGGTATGTTCATTCTTTTTTTTTTCTCCTGGTATGTTCTTTCTATTAGACATTTTGTCATTGTTAGACAGTTGTTTCTCTCCTTTTTTTTTTTTTTTGGTACTGGGGATTGAACTTGGGTCCTTGTGCTTGCACAGCAGGCGGCAAAACCACTGAGCTAAGTTCCTGGCTAGCTGCTTGTTTCTTTCTAGGATATCCTTGAGAATTTTTGGAGTGCTGGTTTGGTGATCAAGAATTTCTTCAGATGCCCTTTGTCATGGAAATATCTTATTTCTCCATCAATTTTGAAAGGTAGCTTTGCGGGATAAATGCTTCACTAAGTGCTCCTGGCTTTTAAGTTCAGTGTTGAGAAGTTGCTGTAAATCTAATGGGCTTACCTGTATAAATAATTTATTGAACTTCTCTGACAGCATTTAGTGACCTTGTTTTCTTGTGTTAGACTTCTGGGATTTTGACTAAGAAGTGCCATGGAGAAGTTCTTTTTTGATCATGGCTATTTGGTATTCTATATGCCTCAGTTATCTGTACATTAAGTTCTTTTCTCATATTTGGAAAGTTTTCTGCAATTATTTTAGTAAACAGGTTTTTAAATGCCATTTGTGCTATCTTCTAATTTTTCACTAAATCCAATTACAGTAAGTCCTTGATTTACAAACATTCTAGTTGAGAACTTTCACAGATATGAATGGACCTGGCATTATGAACATTCGGAGATGCAAATGAATCACGGAAGTAGCTCATCCCAACCCTAACCTTGTACTACCATTTTAAGGTAACTGTAAAAATAAAAATATTTTATGTAGAGTATCTTTGTGTGTGTGTTTGGGTTTTTTATGCTTTACACTGTATATTTGTGTCAAAGTTATATAAAACTTTGTCAGACTTACAAATGAATCTGACTTATGAATGTTCTCCTGGAATGGAACTCATTCGTAAGTTGGGACTTACTATAATCTTAGGGTTTTTTTGCATCGTCTAGCAGCTCTTGGATATGTTTTTCATGTTCTCTTGTTGCTTTTAGGGTATTTGTCATTAATTGGTCACTGACAACAGCCCTGTCTTCTAGTTCTGACACTTCTGACACTGGTCACTACTGCCCATGCTTTTGTTAGAATTTTTCATTTCTTGAATTTTTGTTTGGTTCCTTTTTATGCAGTGTAATTCTTTTCTACGCTGGAGATTCATGTTTTGCATCATTTTGCTTAGATCAGCTAGTTTTTTATTAGTGTTATCAACAGACTCACTAATCGTTATATTAGTTCCATTATCTATTTTGTTATATCTTCTCTGAGCTCACCAAGTGCCTCATTGATCTGTTTTGTTTTTTTTTACAATCTCCTTTGTTATTCTTTTGAATGATTCAGCTGTGTGGCTTTTGATTTCCTCCCTTTGATGCCCATGGATCAGCTTTAGGGGAGTTGGGAGGTCTCGGAGGCATTTTGTTGCCTTGTCTTCTTATGCTTCTAGTTTTTATTTGATTTTTTTGTCTGTGTGTGCTGGTGTTTGCAGGTTGATAATACTGGAATGCTTTGTTGCTAGTACTGAGACCTCTTCAATGGTTGCTCTTCAGTGATGTGCTCTGAGTGTGGCTAACTATAGGTCTTTTCCTCTGTCCCAGAATCCAACCACCTTCATTTATTTGGGAGGGGAGGCTGCAGTGTATTTGGCTCACTATCCAGTTCTCTTGGAATAGGCCACAGAATTGTTAAAAAAATTTTTTTTTATTCAATAAGTTTATTGGTACATTTTAGGTATACAATATGATGACTTCATCATTGGGAATTTGTACCTTCACATGATATATCTTGGTTCTTATTTTTTTCCCCATTTCCTGGCCCTCCCTTCAACCCCTCCACCCCTCCTTATTTACAAAGACTTTGTTTCCATTTTTTCCTTTTCTCATATTTCTTCCTTTCCCTTTTTTCCTTTCCCCTACTCCTCACAATTTCCCTTCCCCTTTAGACCTTTTCTTCCTGTTTCACATTATCTATTATACATTTTGATCCTTATTTACACTTCCAGCTTCTCACACCAGAGAAACTATTTGGTATTTACACGTGTGTCCCATTTATTTCACTTAAGAGTACGGCCTCAATGTGCATCCATTTAGCTCTAAATGACCCTAGTTTCCCACTTTTTTATGACTGAGTAGTACTCCATTTTATAAAAAAACCCACATTTTCTTTATCCAGTCTCCAGTTAATGGGCAATTGGGCTGTTTTCAAGTTTTAGCTATGACAAACTGTGCCACTATAAACATGGGTGTGCACTTATTGCTGAGGTATGATTCTTTTAATTCTTTTGGGAAGATACCCAGCAGGGGAAGAGCTGGGTCAAATGGGACCTCTAATCCTAGTTTTTTGAGGTATCTCCATACTGATTTCCACAGTGGTTGCACCAGTATACACTCCCACCAACAATGGAGAAGGGTTCCTTTCTCCCCACAACCGTGCCAGCATTTGTTATTGGTTGATTTCTTGATAGCAGCCATTCTTTCTGGAGTGAGGTGGAATCTCAGTGTTGTTTTCATCTGCATCTCTCAAATGACCAGTGATGTTTAACATTTTGTCATATGTTTATTTGCTGCTTTTACTTCTTTGTCTGAGAAATGCCTGTTCATTTCACATGCCCATTTTTGAATTGGGTCTTTAAATTTGAGGGGGGGGTCTGATTTTTAAAAATTCTTTATATATTCTAGATAGTAGTCCCTTGTCTGAGGAACAGCTGGTAAAATTTTTCCCACATTGTAGGTTATCTCTTAGCTCTATTGGTGGTTTATCTTGCAGTGCAGAAGCTTTTTAATAAGATGAGATCCCAGTTGTTGGTTCTCTGTGTTAGTTCACGTGTGACTGAGGTTTTGTTCATAAAGTATTTTCCTATGCAATGTCTTCAAGAGTTCTACCTAACCTATCTTCCAGCAAGTTTAGTGTTTCTGTTTTAATATTTAGATCTTTAACCCATTTAGATTTTAGTTTAGTGCATGGTAAAAGATAGGGGTCTGGTTTTAATCTGTGGCAGGTTGAAATCCAGTTTTTCCAGCATCACTTATTAAAGACACTATCTTTCCTCCTGTAAGGGTGGTTGGCTCCTATGTCAAAGATGAGCTGGCTGAGTATGTCTGGAGTTATGTCTACATCTTCTAATCTAAGGCCACAATATTGTTAATGACACAAAGGCAACCCAGATATTGGTATATAGAAAAAAATCAGTTAATAGCAATAACTATGTCACCTTGGCTACAGTAGTAAAATCAGCAACAATAATAGTGTCAAAGACAAACTGGATATTCTCCCACCCTATTGTCTTAGTCACTTCTCTCATCACTAAGACAAAATACCTGAAACCCAAAGTTAAAGGAGGAAAGATTTATTTTGGCTCACAGTTTGTAGAAGTTTCAGTCCAGTCATCTGGCTCCAAGGCAGGGTGGCATGGCAGAAGGGCATCACAGAGGAGAAACCATTCATGCCAGGCAGAAAGCAGCAAAAACAGCAAGCAGCAAGCTACAATAGCAGCCCTCTTTCGGTTCCTTATATTGTTCCTTATACCTGCCCTAAAGGCCCACTCAGGGTGGGGCACACCCAGGGTGGGGTGCCCTTAATCTTCACACCACACTATGAATCAATCCCAGCATCACATCCTTAATCTCAGCATCACCACACACTCTAGATCCAGCAACCTATGAAAAGCCCCACCTATGACTGCATGAGGCTTTGGGGGGACATCTAGATACAAGCCATGACACCTATGAACCAATAATTACCACCTTTAACCATCAAAAAGATTTATATTTATGGTATAATCCCTAAGACAAAGCAAATATTGACCTACAGTAAATATCTACTAAATGGAACAACTTTCACTAACAATAGAACAGTATTCAGCATAGCATAGAGTTAACTAGCTATTTAAAGATTCATAAAGCTTAATATACTAGTAAAGGATGAGGGGGTTGGGAACCAGAGAATGAGAAAATTAAAGTTTGGAAAATTTATCAATGTAAGATGAGAGAAAAATGAGATACAGGGATCCTATTGAGGTTTAAAGATAAACTGACAGTATTATAAAACTGTCAAAGAATGGAGATGGAAAAGAAGAAAAAAAGAAAAACACCAAAGTAAAGAAAAGAAGAAAAAAGGTATAAGGGGCAAAGAAAAAGAGAAAAAAAATAAAAGGGAGAAAAACCTCAACCGCCCTGCCCCTAGCCAATGAAGGAAAGAAAGAAACTTTTTAAAAAGTAAAAAAATTCCTGTGTTTTTAAATGAGTTGTGTCTTTCCAGGATATGCAGTCTTGGAATCCAGCAAATTACAATTTTGTCCACCTAGCTTTAGGGCCTGTGGGTTTGTGAGATGCCCTCCCTGCTTCAGACACCCCTCTGTCCTTTTGCCCCAGGCTGTGGAAACCGTCCAAGATGAGGTGTGTCCTTGTTCACACTGGCAGACAGGGAAAAGCAATCAGCCCTCTGGTCTTTGCTGGATGTAGGCTTCGGGGTGGAGGTTCAAGGAGACTGTTGGACTGAAGGTCAACACTTGCCAGGCCTGGTTTTTCACTAGGGAGTGCAGGGCCAATGTCCTTCCTGGGCTGAATTTAAACATCTTAGGGGATCTATGTCTTGCTTGCAACTCCTCCAGGGCCGTTTCCTATGGAGGTCTCTCACCCAGTGACTGTGGGAATCCCTGAAGCTGCTGCCAGGTCTGCACTTTCTCCCTGGGTCTTTTGGACCTCCAAGCTTACTTTCTCTTCCCTAATATTTTGTCTATTTTCCCATATGGAACATACCCACGTTCAATGGAATATGACTAGTCCTTCCCAGCCTCCATGGCCCTGTCCTAACTTCTAACAGTGAAATTAGCTTTCATTTGTACAAATGAACCCTGCAGCTTGTACTTTTCCACGTCTGGCTTCGCTTCCTTTCTCAACATTACCATTAGGAGACTTGTCAAAATAATAATAATGATAATAATAATAATAATGATAATTGGCAGCACTGGGGGTAGAATCTAAGGTGTTCACATTGAGCTCTATCTCCCGCTATTTAAAAACAATTTTTAAAAAAACTCAGAGTCTCCCTAAGTTGCTAAATTGCCGAGGGTGTGCTGGAACTTGTGATCTTCCTACCTCAGCCTCCTAGAAAGCTGGGATTACCTGAGTGAACCACCACCACACCTGGCAGAGATAGGTCAAAATTCTTGTCTCACCGTATTTTGAAATTATGTTAGAACTCTGAAAGAAGTTCCTAAATCCCAGTAAAGAAACAGTTTTACTTTAATACCGGAAGTACACAGTTTAGGGAACCTCGTAAGTGTGTATAACCTACGAATTCTTGCCTCCCACGGACTCCTCCTCAGCTCTTCTGACCCTACTTAGGGAACCGCCTCCCCGCCCCCGCCTTCCTCCCCGCCCCCGCCTTCCTCCCCACAGATCCCTGCATAGCCTCGGTCTGCGACTGCGCAGAGCGCGCCCGGATACCGTGTCTGATCACGTGACTGCCCCTGGCCGACCAAGATGGTGGCGTCCTGTGTGGCTTTCCTGCTGCTGTCTCTGTTTCTACCGCTACTGCTGCTGGGCTGGTGGAAGCGCTGGCATCGTGGGCTCGCGGCTCGGCACGTGGTGGTCGTGGTGTTGGGCGACGTGGGCCGCAGCCCCCGTATGCAGTACCACGCGCTGTCCTTGGTTAAGTCGGGGTTCTCCGTGACCCTTCTGGGGTTCTGCAGTGAGTACCCCAGAGCCTGGGAGGGAGGCCTCTCCGAGTGCTGACCCTTGGCTTAATTCTAGGAGGTGAAAAGACTGAGATTGGAAGAGTCTGGTAACCGCATCAGTGTGCAGCTACCCTTGTCAGAATGTCTGAGCTGACAGGCAACCTAACTTCTGCCAGTCCTCATTCCTCGGTGGAGACTAGGGCTCTTTCACCTCTACCCGTGTGCAGGCAGTAGTGTCTGCTTGTTCACTTTGGTCCAAGTTGATGGCTTGGTGGACAACTCACGTCCATCACAGGGAACAGTGGGAACAGCACTGGTTGCCTTTGCTCCCAGTGTCTGCTATCCCAGGATGATGTTGGAGTGGGACATCCTAGGCATGTCCCAGTGGTGGGAAAATTCCATTATTCTGTAGAGTCTAGGTCAGTTTGAGTTCCTACTTTATACCAGGTGTGGGTTGAATACAGGTATTGGATACGATTTGAGCTCTCCCTCTGTGAGCATTCTAGTATAGTATGGACAAAAATTAGCCTCGTTCTCTGGCTACTCATGAACAGAGAGATTTTTGAAGTCTCATTTTCCAAAAACACTTTCCACTATTCAGCCTAGGATTGTGGAATTATCTGACTTTAGATTGCTCCATCTACTACATTAAAGGGCATGTTTACATTTAATTCACAGACTCCAAACCCCACAGTGAGCTCTTGGAGAGTGACAAAATTCAGGTCGTGAAACTGACAGAACTTCAGGGTCTTGCAGGTAGGAGGAAGTCAACTCCAGAATCCTCTGACTCAGTTTGGGTTGTTTGTGGGAAAATGGGCAGATTGCTAGGAGCTTCTTTGGTAGTGATAAGTGTTTTCTGTCTTGTAGTTGGGCCCCGGGTTCTCCGATATGGGGTCAAAGTTGTGTTTCAAGCAGTGTACTTGCTCTGGAAGTTGATGTGGAGGGAGCCAGCAGCCTACATCTTTCTCCAGGTATGTGTCAGCCCCTGCTTCCCTCTCTGAGAACCTCTGTTAACAGTTTTCTTTACTTTCCAGCCTTTTATAAATTCACAAATTGGCCTGGGTGGTGGTAGACCATATAGTTAACATTCATGAGGTGCTGGGTTTGATTCCCAGTACCACACACATAAAATATGCACAAATTGATAAATAAATTGCATAATCATGTCTGTGAATAAACTTTTACAGTCATGAGTAGGACCTTACGAGTAGAGGCCTGTAGTTTGTGTCCATACTATTTATGGTCCCCATTCATAGTGTTTTTCTGTGTCATTACAGATGGAGTCTTACTTTGCACTTAGTACTTGTCTAAGTGTTTTACATGTATCACCTCATCAGTCCTGTCAAGAATGCTAAGAGTAGGTTCTTATAGTCCTTGTGCTTTTGAGATGGCAAAACCTGGACCCAGAGAGGTTCTATAAGTGGCCCATCATCACACAGCCAAGAAGTGGTAGAGTCAAGATTTGAATCTAGGTAGTCTGGTTCTAGAAGGTTAAGCTTTTAACCTTCACCAGTTTTTTTTTGTTTTGTTTTTTTGTTTTGTTTTGTTTTTTGAGGCAGGGTCTCCCTCTGTAATTCAGGCTGGCCCTAAACTCACTATGTAGCCCAGGCTGGCCTCAAACTCCCGGTGATCCTCCTGCCTCAGCCTCCGGGATGCTGGGATTACAGGCATGCGCCACCACACCCGGCAGTTTTTAACATCTAGAAGCATCTTTTAGTGGGCTACACTGAGTTCCAACATGTAATGGAGCTTATTTAGTTTCATCTTGACAGATACTCAAAATCTTCTTGACCTTTTTGGTTTTATTTTTGGTGCTTGTACCTCTTGTATGCTAGGATAACACTCTACCTGTTTTTCTTTGTTTTTTTAACCTTTACAACTAGTGCAGCTGACAGTATAATAAATATACATCAGTGTCATAGTTCACTTTTTTCCTTGAGATAAATTGCTGGCTGTAGAATTGTTTGGTGAAAATTTATGCACTTTTAAAATGTTGGGGTAGGATACTGGCTAGCCTTAGAATAGGGTTGGGCCCAGCTGTTCCCCCCTAATGAGGGTGCTCCTTCTCTGCCATGTTTACCGTTGCCCGTTGATGTTGAGCTTTAAAGTTTATCTTCTGGTAATGGAAAATAGCATATCTTTGTTTCGTGTGTTTATTTCCTTCATTATGGACAATTTGATTATTGGCTAATTCTGTTGCTTTTTTTCTCCATTTTTTTTGTGGTACCCAAGATCAAACTCAGGACCTTGTGCTTGCCAGGCAGATGAGGTGCCACTGAGCTACATTCCCTGCGCAGTTGCTTTTGAGTTTTTATACCTTTCTTTGGTGGCAGAGAGGGTCTTTCTTCAGCCTGCTGGTTATCTAGAGCTCCGTAAAGATACTTGTCTCTTTGCCAAGTGTGTGGCAAGTGTTCTCACTCAGGTTTCTATGGACTATGGTGTGAGTTTCCTCTTCTGCATAAGCCTTTCTCTCTCCTAGAATCCCCCAGGCCTGCCGAGCATTTCTGTCTGCTGGCTGGTGGGCTGCCTGTGTGGGAGCAAACTGGTCATCGACTGGCACAACTACGGTTACTCCATCATGGCCCTGGTGCATGGCGCTACACACCCGATTGTCCTGCTGGCCAAGTGGTGAGAGTCTGGGAGGAGGGTGGAGGTACCTCCCTAAAACCCTGTCAGGGTAAGTGGGACGAGGAGCCAGGGGAGTGGGGAGAGTTGTCAGCTACTTGGAGCCCGAGTGTAGTGTCTGCCTCGGTGTGCACTTCCAGCCAAAGGCTGGCAGTGGCTGTGGCCTTTACCCCTAGGGCCTTGTTTTATTGGTGGTGGTGACAGTAGCTGTGGCAGCTCCTAACAGTCCCTGAGTTCCTGTTGCATACAGGCCTCAGGCCAGACCCTTTATGTATCTGTCCCATTCATTTCCCACTGCCTCCCAGTCAGGAAAGCTGGGAAGAGAGTGATGCTGCCTCTTGGCATGGAGGCAATAAGAGGATTCACCCAACCATCCTATTCCAGAGCTCTCTCTGCCTCTGTAGGGAAGAAGAGGCTGTGCTAGTCTAGTGGGATTAGGTACTCTTGAATTTCTCTTCCCTTTCTACCCCTAAGACCAGGGCTCCAGCCTTGGTTTGGAGCCAGCATGTGTCTCACACCTCTCTGACATTTACTACACTTCTTTGTATACACTGAGAGCAAGCACGACCTCCACTGTGATAGCACAGGGCAGCTGAGGTTCAGATATGCAGCCTTTGTCATATTTTTTCCTTTTTATTGTACAAAAGGCTGGATCTCACTCCTGCCGTGTATGCAGCTTCCTTTTAAAGTAACTCCGTTTAAGCTGAAAAGTGACACGACATGAGGAAGGTGTGGAAAAAGTAAGGTGCGGAGAGACTTAGGGAGTGAGAACTCTGGCAGGTTGGGTGATTCCAGCTCTGCAACCCCTCCTGGGTTGAGGAGCATCAAGGCATGTGGATGGCATGGTGGCATCGGAGGCCCAACCAGGACTCTGTGGTGACCCCGATATGTCTTTGCAGGTATGAGAAATTCTTCGGGCGGTTGTCCCACCTGAACCTATGTGTGACCAATGCTATGCGGGAGGACCTGGCGGAGAACTGGTGCATCAGGTGTGGGGGGCCCAGGACACTTGCTGTCTTGAGGGTGGAGTGGGACCCCAGGGTTGGTTGAGAGCGGCAGTGCCCGCTGTGCCATATTGGCGAGCCATGTGGAAGTACCCAGGGACCAGGGGATGGTCACTGGTTTGGGGAAGCCAAGGGAGGTAGGGGTGATGGGGAGTGGAGTCTTTGCTGGGCAGTTTGCTGGTAGAACCTCTGTGTGCTTTCCCAAGTAATTCTAAAGGTTTTGTTGTCATTGGGATTCTGCAAGTGCCCTTGTCTTTCTGGGTCCTCTCTTCCTAAGGCTTCCCCACCCCACCCCCATCTCATTGCAGGGCTGTGACTGTCTATGACAAGCCAGCATCTTTCTTTAAGGAGACGCCCCTGGACCTGCAGCATGAGCTCTTCATGAAGCTGGGTCGCACCCATTCTCTGTTTATGGGCTGGTGCGTCTTCATCCTCAGCTGCCTTTTCTCATGCCCATGCTATCCTGGTCTCTCCTGTCTCTCCCTGCAGACTTGGGGACACACTAATCCAGGAGGTGGCAAACTAAGGCTGCAGCCCTGCCTGTTTCTGTAGTTTTGTTGGAACACAGCTCAGTCTCTCTCGTGTCTGTGGCCTACAGCAGCGCAGCTGGGTTTTGCAGCAGAGACCATCTGTCCTGCAAAGCCTAAAGTCATCACTCTCTGGCCCTTTAAGGAAGGATTTGCTGAGCCCTGTGCTCCCTTGTCCCCCCTGGCCCCCCACCAGAGGTTCCTGTGCCTGTGGCAGGGTCTGTGACCTTTGTGTCCTCAAGGTGTGTCTCGGGCTAAGGAGAGGATCCACTGCCGCCCTCTACGCATCCTGTCTGGGTCCTTCTGTAACCCACATCCTGATGATAAGGATAGAGCAGTGGGCCCTGTGTGGGGGTGGGGGTGGGGTGCACACCAAGTGGCTTGTTTGCTGTGTGACCTCAGCACATGGAAACAGATGATTGTTTGGAAGAGTTGGCGGGGTGCTGACATGGCCTGGTGCCCCAACCTTGGGAGTCCATGGTGGGAGGTGGCTGTGTTGGCTTTCTCATCACTGAGGCATGACCTGATGCCTGCAGTTTAAAGGAGAAGAGATTTTACTTGGCTCATGGTTTCCGGAACATTGTGGCAGAAGGGCATGGTGGAGGAACACTGCTCTACCCTTAGTAGCCGGGAAGCAGAGGGGGAATGGAGGAGCTGAGGAGGGGAGGAGGGAGCCCCCACCCTGTGACTCACCTCTTCCAACCAGGCTGCGCACTGCACACTTAGCTATGAACTATGAGTATAGCACCCTGGTGATCCAGCCGCCTTGCAAAAGGTGAAAACAGAACTTTGGGGGGACACTATTATTTTTAAATTTTTATTTTTATTAGTCCGTGTTTGCAGTACATAATGATTACATGCATCATGAGGTGTTGGTACCTGTACGTAACACATCTTTATTCTTTTTACTTCCCTTTACCCTTCACTCCCTCTCTTCTCTCCCTCCATCTCTTCATCCCATTGCCATTTACAAACGCTCTGTCTCCCTGTTTCCTATTATCTGTCTTTTATTTTGTTCTTTGTTTATACTTTGGGTTTCTTATGTAAGAGAAACTGCGATATTTAAGCTTGGGTAGCTGATTTATTTCACTTAACATTAGAGTCTCAAGGTGTTTCTTGGAGGGACATTTTATTTTCTCTGCCACTGTAGCTCGGAACCCTCAGACCCAGCCACAGAGAGGTCAGCCTTCACGGAGAAGGATGCTCAGACCAGGCTGGTGACGCATCTTTGCGGGCGGCCAGCGCTGCTGGTCAGCAGCACGAGCTGGACAGGTCTGCTCCCTACTACACTGGGGACCTTAGGGAAGCTGTGTTCTTGTTGCCCTGGAGAATGGGGTGGTCTGGGAGCTGGGAAGGAGGTGCCCTGGAAACAGGCTGTGAAGCTCACTTCTCTTCTTGCAGAGGATGAGGACTTCTCTATCCTGCTGGCGGCATTGGAAAGTAGGTGTGTGGCTGGGTCTGAACTATGGGCCTGTTGGGCTGAGCAGTGAGCTCGCCTGGTCTTATAGGGTGTGTTTTGTCTATAGTGTGCTCCTGATCCTGGGGCCACAGGTGGACCAGCCCGAGGACAGCGAAGGCCTGGTGGGTGGGATGCAGAGCTGTGTTCCCATCTGGGTGATTGAGTGGCGAGGTCCTACAAGTAAAGAGCATCTCAGGCTGGCGGTCTCCTCATGGGAGCACCCTGTCCCCCACCTAAGAGAATCCTGGGTAGCATGTCTTTATTTTATTTTTAAAACAGAGTTTGAACAATGGGCATCCGACGGAGACAGCCTTCCTTCTTTAGTCTGTGTGATAACAGGTACTGCTTAACATTCTCAACCTCCTTTATTCAGGTGGGAGGAACCCTTGACCCCCTGTATTTAGGTGGGGGACCCTCAACATCTGTATTCAGGTGGAGACTGTGGAGGGGGTGGGGGCAGCCTCGACTGAGAGCCTTCCACATGGTAGCAACTCATCAATCCCCACACCAACTCTGGGATAGGTTTTACACAGTGTTGGGGATGGAACCTAGGGCCTTGCAAGTGATGGGCAAGTGCTATACCGTTAAGCTACATCCCCAGCTCCTTGAAAGAGGAGGCTCCTTATGGCAGGGCGTGAATCAGGCCTCCTTATGGTGGGGCATGGAGTCTGGATTGGAATCTCGGATAGCACAACCTCACATATACCAAGCTTTCCACTTTCTCAGTGGTTTTCCCACATCGCTGTAGTTTTAAAAGCAAAGAGCCCTCAGTTCCACATAAAACTGCTTCTGTAGCCACAGGGTGAAAGAGAAGCAGGAGGGCTGGGCCAGCTGCCCTGTCCTGCCCACCCCCATCCTCCTGACCCTGGGTCCCCAGGATAGGCTTGGGGTCCACTGTACATGCAGTGCTTCCTGGGGCCCTGGTGAAAAGAGGGCAAGCCTGTGTCCCCTGCACTTGGCAGTGTCCTGGTTGGCACTCCAGCGTTTATGTGGTCCTGTTTGCAGCCTGAGGCTGCCTGGCTGCATGTGGCAGGGCTGTGGCTTTGCAATCAGCGGCATACCTTGTGGGGTCTCGGGCTTCTCAGGTGGTCTTTGGAAGGGAGCCTGACTAGGAATGCCAAGGGTGGGGCTCCTGGGAGGTGGCTGCTGTGTTCCATAGGGAGTGTCTGGGGCCAGCCGTGTGGCAGAGTTCAGTGCAGTGACTGCTTTCCTCTGTGAAGGCAAAGGGCCTCTGAAGGAACATTACATCCGCCTCATCAGCCAGAAGCATTTCCAGCGCATCCAGGTCTGCACACCATGGCTGGAGGCTGAGGACTACCCCCTGCTTCTAGGTGAGGGGGCTGCATCTGGGAGGCAGAGGTGTCTGTATTTAGATGGGCCCAGGGCAGTCGACACGCTTTTTCTAAGAAGGGCCAGATGGTACGGGCTTTGCATGCTGCTGTGGCGTGGTCTTTGGTTTTCTTTATAACTATTAGAAGTGTAAAAGCTATTTGCAGTTCAGGGCCTCCAGCTGACTGTGCCCCAGCTTGGAGGCCAGCGGCGGCAGCGTGCCAGGACCCTTGGGTTGAGGTCCTGAGCCCGTTTCCCAGGGTGCTGACCCTCCCTGCCTGTGGCCCCAGGCTGTTTGCTGGAGGGTTGTGAGACGGCCAAGACCTCTGGGCCTCCACACCCCGCTTCAGCCCAGGTGCTCCATCTGTGGAGGCCTGGCTCATCTCCTAGGGAGTGGCCCTCTCCTGCCTCTGCCTCGTCTCTGGCGGGAGTCGGGCAGGCTTAGTGCTGCTGTGTCCCAGATGTCTCCTCTTCCAGCAGCCAGAGTGCGGCTCACTACAGTGCTGGGTTTGTGATTTGGGATGATTTTCACATGGAAGTCCGATTTTTGTTGGATCTGCTATTTCTTTAAAAAATTTTTTTCGTTATGCTTTTTATCCAGAGTTCTTCTTTAAAAATTATTGTAGTTAAACATACAACAAAATTTTCATCTTAGCCACTTTAAGTGTATACTCAGTGGTATTCATTACACTCACAGAGCTGTGTGATCATCACTCCCTCTGTCCAAATGTCTTTATCACCTTGACAGAAATTTTTTTTGGGGGTGGGTGGTACACAGGGCTTTGTGCATGCTAGGCAAGTGCTCTATCACTGAGCTTCATCCCTAGCTCTTTTAAAATAAATTGTGGCTAAAAGAAAAAGTAAGTCACCTTGAAGCTGGGTGTAGGGGTGCATATATACGTGTAGTCCCAGCATTTAGGGAGGCTGAGGCAGAAGGATCCCAAGTTTGAGTTCCATCTGGGAAACTTAGACCTTGTCTAAAAAAATAAGGGGCTGGGGATATAGCTCCGTAGTAGAGAGCCCTTGGGCTTAATCCCCGGTAACCGCCCCCCCCCCCCAAAGTGAGTCAACTTGAATAAAAATAGAGGCATTTTCTTTTTTGTTTGTTTGTTTGTTTTTGTTTTCTTGGTACCAGGGATCGAACTCCGGTCCTTGTGCTTGCAAGGCAAGCGATGGAACCACTGAGCTAAATCCCTGGCCCACTAGAGGCATTTTCTGATAGGGCCGAATGGTTGGTGGTGGGTGGGCAGCACCACTGTCTCTTTGCCCTCCCACCTGCCTGGCCACTTGCATTTGGGTATGTTGTCAGGTGGGTATGTTGTTGGTTGGGGATGTTCTGTGATTTCCACTCCCTGAGGGAGGAGTTGCTGCAGGGCCGAAGGGGCAAGTGTTCCCAGTGCCCTCACCACCCACCCCTGGCCCCCAGGCTCAGCGGACCTGGGGGTCTGTCTGCACAAGTCCTCCAGCGGCCTGGACCTGCCCATGAAGGTGGTGGACATGTTCGGGTGCTGCTTGCCTGTGTGTGCTGTGAACTTCAAATGGTAGGTGTGGGCCTGGGCCTTCCTTTGGTCAGGTTCTCAGATCAGCAGCCCAGGGGGGCAGCGCAGCTAGAGCTTTGGGAGACGCCCCAGCAGGGTGCTGCCTTCTGGGTAGTGGAGGGTGGCTGAGGGTCAGGGCCCTTGTGGTTGCTGTGGTTGGGCTGAGCCCCATGGAAAGACCATCTTCCTTATCTGTGGTTTACCTGATCCATGGCTTCAACCAACTGGGGATCAGAAGCATAGCCAGACCTATGGGGGTTACAGCTGTTCTGAACCTGCAGACTTTTCTCTTGTCCTTGTTTCCAAAACAGTACAGCATTAAACTGTTTACATTGCATTTACATCACATTAGGTATCATGCATCATCTAGAAAGGATTTAAGGGTTAGGGAGGGACATGCATAGGTTGTATGCAGATATATTTTATGTAAGGAACAGGAACATCAGGGGGTCCCCATGGATACTGAGGAACACCTGTAGTTGGCTCGTGAATAGAAACATACATGTGTTAAACACGAACCTCTCTTGTGCTCATAAAAGAGAATGATGGCTGGATTTGCTGTGCAGCGTATGTGGTTTCCTCTCACCCACATCCCTTTTAGCTGAGCTTGTGTAGCTGGGTTGGGATCAATTAGAGGAGTGTAGTTCTGTGACTGAGTCTCTCTTGGTATTGGAAAGGGTGGTGGCAGATGAGGTTCTGAAAGCGGCGGCCCCCATGGGCCGTGTACCCACCTGCTCAGAGACCCACCACTGGATGGAAGATGTTAGACCCTGGTGTGAGCTGAGTTCAGGGGTCAACCTGCTGGTAACCCTAGAAAGTAATTTCCAGGGGCCTGCCTTGGCCTGGCTCAGGGCATGGAGTAGGAAAAAGATGCAGAAATGATTCTGGAGTATGTTGTCCTTGAAGAGTGAATGGCACATCAGGGCCAGATTCTCCTGAGGGCCCCCTTCAGATTGGGGTGGCATGGTGACATCTCTCTTTCCAGGCCCTTTCTTACAGAAACCCTAGATCTCAGGACAGTCTCACTGAGCCAAATCTAGGGTGCCTGACCTCAGCCTCCAACTTGAGTGCGGTGGGGAGCCAGGGGCCTAGCTAGGTACCACAGGGCCCGGGATCCTCTTGGATGTCTCTCAGGCCTCCCTTGCTTCTCTCTGCAGTTTACATGAGCTAGTGAAGCATGGAGAAAATGGCCTGGTCTTTGAGGACGCAGAGGAACTGGCGTCTCAGCTGCAGGTAACATGCCTGCCCATGCTTTGGAGGGTGTAGAGTCAGCTCCCTGCTCCCACTCCTGTGGGATGGTGGAGTTCTGGTCTGGAGGAAAAGCAGAGGGAGGCAGGGAGGGAGCAGAAGCCCCAGAGGTGGGCTCTCGTGCTGTGGGCTGCCATATATGCAGCCAGTGGGTGCAGGAGGGTCAGGACAGGCCCTGGAGTTGACACCACACAAAAGTTGGATGTGCTGCCACTTAGGGAGTGAGCAGGATTGTAGAATGGAGCTTTGCAGACTGGCCTTGGGAGAGGGTAGGATTCTACAGAGCATACTTTTTTGTTACAAAAATTAACACACTGCATTCTGGAAAGTTGAAAGATCTGCAGACATTTTTTGTAAAGGTCCAGGTAGAAGACATTTCAGGCTTTGTGCTGCATCTCTGAGAGCCATTCACTCCACTATTACGTGGAAGCAGCTGTCTGCTGTTTAGTGAAGGGGCTAGGTTCCAACAGTACTTTACTTACCACGACAGGGTGGCTGGATTTGGCTGGTGGGCTATAGTTTGCTAATCCTAATGTAGACAGTTTGGCAAAGCCCAGACATGGCCTGCTCCTTCCTGGTGGAAGGTGCTGGTGGGTGCAAGAACAGGCCGAGGCCAGGTGCACTCCAGGGCACAGGGTATGGGAAACTAGAAGACAAGCTCCTTAGAAGGCCCAGGAAGGCAGTGGGGACTTGGAGTGGGTGTTACTGGGTGTGCATCCTGTGGCCAGAGCTGTCAGCCAGGCAGACAGGAAGCTGGGTCTGGAAGGGGAAGGCCCAAGCACAGGGTGGGGTGAAATAATGAGGTAACTTCTGAGCTTTATTTTCCTGTAGATGCTTTTATCCAAGTTTCCTGATCCTGCTGGCAAACTAAACCAGCTCCGGAAGAATCTACGGGAGTCAGAGCAGCTTCGATGGCATGAGAGCTGGCAGCGGACTGTGCTCCCCTTGGTTATGGACTCATGAGCCCACCTGTGACCAAAGCCCCCGAGTGGGTTGTGCTGGTGGTAGAGGAGTAGCCCCATCTTGTCCATCCCAAAGATGCAAAGTTCTCCCCACGTATCCCCACCGGGAGCCACCCCCGTCCTCTGCTTTTGAGCAGGACACCCTGCAATGGCCAGAAGCCAAAAGGACAGCAGTGGGGGCTGCCTGGGGAATGACCAGGAGACTGGTCCATTGTGGTCTCTAGGCTCTGAATCACTCCTTTCTTCTGTACCGGGCATATTACTTTTTTGTTACTTCTTATGACCCCACCAGCTTCTCTTTGTGCCTGGCTTTTTGTCTTTTCTCCCAGCTGTGTTGAGCTCTTTCAGCCCCAATGCCTGCCTGGAAATGGCCATGCTGCTCTAAGCCAGCCAGACATGACGCGTTATGGTGTCTTGGCTTAGTGAGGGGCTCATTGCTCAGGCTGGGGAATCATACTTGATAAATATGTTTATTTGGACAAACAAAATACCTGCCTTTGAGCCAAACTGTATTCCTGATGGGTGGTGATTATGAACCAGAATTGTGCACAGAAAGGGGGCACCCACACACGTACAGTTTGTATTTCACTAGAACAGGTTGGGGTTTCTCATTTGGAATTTAACATTCTTCACACAGTCAAGTTCAAAGACAGTTTTATCAGCTTTCCTATGTAAAAAACTCTTTCCACGATACTGATTTAATTTTCATAATTGTCTTCCAAACCGTTGGTGAGACCTACAATGTGAGTTTCAGGATCGATGTCTCCGAGTGCTCTTCATATGGGAACAGCTTCTGCTCATGAGGAGGCACCACTTCCCACCGGATTCTGGCCTGGCCTGGAAATACAGGGCATGCATCTGAGGATGGAGGTGGTGTTGAGGACAAGGCAGGAATCTTATCAGTACAGAGCAGTTAGGACAGGCTGGGCCTGTGTCCAAGCTGGTTTGCTTGGTTCGAAGATTTCTAGGCCCACTCTGATGCCCAGAGGCAGCTCCAGGGTAGGACCAGGAGTCTGTGGTCATTAGCGGTGACATCCAGGTATGGCCACATGCCTCACCCTGCCTGTCCACCTATCAGTTGGCACAGGAGAGATGAGAAATGAACCTTCATCTGCCTGACATCTTTGCCCGTGCTCCTCCTGAAGGCCAGAAGGGCTCGTGTCACCTGTAGGTACACAGGCTGTATGCTCCCTGGGATGGTTTAATACAGTTTTTGTTATACATGAAAAATTAGCATTTATAAAAATGAAATAGTATGGATCTAAAGGCATGGAAGTGTCTTATCCCACCATCCAAGGGTAACAACTGTTACTTAGAGTATATTCTAGAAATTCCCTCGGGTCCAGTAACATGAAGATATACTTGTTTTTCTGCAGTGCTGGAGATTGGACACAGGGCCTAGGGCCTGCTAGACAAGTGTTCTACCCTGATCTACACCCCCACTCCCAGAGAGAGTGAGTGAAAAACAGGCTTTTATGTGCTGTTTGGCACTTTGTTTTTACACTTGAAATATACTTTAGGTACTCTGCGTAAGCACCCAAAAGAGAACTTTACTCTCAGGGCTGCAGTCCTCCCCCATGAGTGCTGGGAACTCATTTGTTTGCTCCGTGATTAACGTATGTGCCCTGCATGGATGTGCATCTGGGTGGCCCATGACTCCCTGCCTGTAGAGCTTGTGGGGAGCTGGGAGAGGCTTTGCTGCAGGGGCCGGCAGGGACAGCTCTGCACCGCACTGTGTTGCACATAAAATGCCCTGGATGGGCCTGCTGTGCTCAGGCTCTTGGGAGGTGGTTTTGGCTGGGTGGTCTGGCTTCGGTCCATGGGGGCTCTGTGGTCTCCTAGCTTACCTGTGTCCTGGTGTCTTCATAGGTGACACAGGATGATGGCAGGGCTCCTCCCAAGTGTGGCTAACAGGTGACAGGCCTGAGGATGGTGCCTGGCCCACTGTGGTGCCACTTAAGGGTTGTGCAAATAGTCTCTTTCCTTTCCTGGGCACCCATGACCACAGCTCCCCTATTGTCAGGTGTGCCCTGTGTGTTGGGCATGGTCCGAGTGTGACTGAGGTTGTGTCTCCGAGGTGATGTCACCACAGAGCAGATGAGGAAAGACGGGTGCATGGAGGGGACTGGTGAGGTGGGGTCCATCTCCAGCACCTGCACTTAGTTATCTCATGGGCCAGAACCTTTGCCAGCCCTGGTGCCAACTGGCATCTCCCACCACCTGCATCTCACAGATCAGGAAACTGAGGCCCCCCCACCCCCCAGCGCTCAGCTGCCGCCCACCTGCCTGCTCACTGCTGCTCACTGGCCCTGCCTCTGCCTGGATCCTGAGCACTCGTGGGGCCGGGGCCTCCTCCTCTGACTTTCCTGATTCCTGCTTTACTGGAGCCCTCATGGGACAGCACAGTGGCCAGCAGGTCTGGGGCTCACCTAGTTCAGTGGTAAACAGCTGGGATGTCTCGGGGTTGCGCATGGTGAAGGCCACATAGACATCAGGAGCTCGGTCCCTGCAACAGGCTGCAAGCCTCTGCAGGACTCCAACCAGCGAGAGGATCACCTCTGGGCAATACAGCACATCTACGAGGAAAAGCCTGGGTTACTCAAAGGGCCTCCTGTTAGGGTTCGGAACCAAACGGCAGGCTCCCTCAGGTGCAGCATAGGGCCAGGTTGCCCACACCTGCCCACCAGGGAGCGTGCTGTCCTTGACTGCTGTGGGACCCAGGACTGGAGGCTGAGCACTGTTGAGTCAGAAGGGGAAAAGCGTGTTTGGCTTCTAACCTCAAGTCCTTCTTAGGACAAAGTTGGCAGCTCTCCAGGCCCTTTCTTTCCGCAGAACTTCATGGCAATTTCTACTGCAAAGTGCCTTTCACAGAACAGGCCTCATAGAAATATGCTACAGAAATCGGCAATGCAGAGGCAGACATTGAAAGGAATACTATTTCATGTCATCCTCAGAGTGGAGTTTATTGCCATACTCCCAGAGATCTAGCTGCTTTCTCTGAGAAGGAACTGCACTTTATGTCCTACTCTTCCATTTGGGGCCTTTGGTGGCCCAGCCAAACTCAGCTTCTGGCATCTCATCCTTGTACCAGAAGTGGCCGGCTCCCTCCTGTGGTTTCTGAAAGACATGGGCTTGGATCTAGAACAGAGAGGTGCAGGGGGCCAGTCAGGGCCATAATACAGTGATGACACTGAGTCCCTGACACAGACAAGCAGTGGATCAGCCAGCACTGACAGGACAGGGCCATTTAGCTCCTGTTCCCTGGCCTGACTCTTGCAGTCTCACCCTAGGCCTGGGTCAGGACTGGATGTTGGCAACTGGCAGTGAGTCAGATGTGGGCCTGGGAGAAGCACATTGCTCTGTGTCCTACAATGACCCAGAGCTGCCGTGGCCAGAGCCATCCCGCATCTGAGGACTGGGTGATGGCACAGTCTTTTGGACCCTTGGCAGTAAAATAATGGCATCTTGGGTGGGGGTAGGTAGGGCTGGTGTGTGGCCCATCTGTCCCATGTGAACTGGATGTTAACTGAGTGGCTTCTTGGGGCACTGAGAGGGACAAGGAGTTGGCCTGGCTGCAGCTGGGTGGGAGGTTAGGTTGGCTCGCTGCCCTGTACCTGTTCTGTCCATTTCAGGCCTTGCTGGGACAGCAGGGTCATTCATCTGATAAGAGTTGTCACCAGAGAGGGGCTGTGGCTTCAGGACATTCAAGAGGCACCTAAGCTGTGATGTCACGTAGAGGCCTTGGGAGTTCCTGCCTCAGGTCCCTATTCCCTGAGCCCAGACCTGCAAGGCAGCCCCATGCTTGACTGGGCATTACCTGCTGCGATGACAGTGTCAGGCTGGAAGGCAGAGAGCTGAGAGACGGTGGCGACCTCCCAGTCCAGCTGGGCCACCATCACCAGCGGTCTCTCTGGGTCACTGGTGACATCTGGCTCTAACGAGAGGCCATTGAGCAGCACATTTCCTCGGAGCTGCTCCAGGACACGGTTGTGATAGTCACTGAAGATGTATACTTTGGGGTGGCACATCTTGCAAATGGCCAGGCCCGTGAGGCCGGCTCCACTGCCCAGCTCGAGGACAGTCCTGAGTGGGAGAAAGAAAAGTCCTGTGTCAGTGACCATGCCAGGGCCCACCAGCCTCAGTGGGTACCCTATGCCCGAGGTCACCTGTGAGTGAAGGCTGCTGGGTTCTCGATGGCCCATTCTGCGAGGTATAGGGCGGCATCCCATGTGACCAGGCCCGTGGTGCCGTGGGACACGATGGCCGTGCTCTCAGAGAGTGTGAGTGGGGTTCCTGAAGGCTGTGCCGAGATGGCAGGAGAATGAACCCAGTGACATGGATGCGAGTGGGCAGGACAAGTCCTAAAAGGTAGGCTAGGCGAACTATGTTACATGCACCCTGGGGAGCACTCCTCAGTAATGCAAGGGACTATGGACACATACATCAAGCAGGATGGGTCATAAGGGTGTCATGCTGAGGGAAAGAAGCAGCCAATCTCAGGTCACATGCTGTGTGGTTCTGTCCATCTAATATCCTCGAGTGACACAAATGGAGAGGTGGCCTGTGGGGAGGAGGGAGTGTGTCTCATACCAGCAAATAGCTCCGATGGCACTGGGTGGACTCCTCAGCAGCCAGGATCTTTGCCAACGCCTCATACAGCTCATCTGAAGGCTCTGTGTGGACAGCCTCATGCTGAGGGTGTACAGAGTGAAACTTCAGCCAAAAGGATCAAGCTGACCATCGTATATAACACCAAGATTCTGTGTACCTTTGCTTTGATCTGTGAACACAGCTGGATGATTTTCACACTGTGGTGGTGGAAGGCCTTGTGCGTACCAGGCTTAGGCGTTACCACTGAGCTACACCCTCAGGCTGATTTTCACAAAATTTAGAGGGACATTTAGGATGAACAAAAGGCATATAAAAAATTCACTTGTTGGGGGTGGTGAGGGGGTACCTCAAAGAAAGGTGTAGAGGGCTTAATGCAGTATACAAATTCCATGAGAGCCACCAGCGACTGAGGGACAGCCATGGCAATCTTAGATGGAGAACTTTTTTTTTTCGGTGGTACTGGGGATTGAACTCAGGGTCTTGTGCTTGTGAGGCAGGATGGAGAACATTTTTTAAGTTGGCCCTGGTAGAAGCCAGAAGGACGGGCATGCCATGTTGTAGGATGTGGGTTTCCACCCTGTGTCATACCCTTCCTGGGGCAGTGCAGGACTCATCTGATGACTGGCCACCCTTCCCCAGGTGGTGCTGGGGAGACTACAGAGGCACCTTGGTGGGGACTGGGGGTGGGAGTGACAGAGGAGCAAGGATTTCATGTGTGCTAAGTCCAGTGGGCTTTTTGTCCAGTGGTTAGTGGAACAGGTCTGCTACCGCCCATGGAGGAATCCCCTCGGATGTCTGCCTGGTGTTGAACTCAGCGGGTTACAGCCTGTAACACTCTGGACATGAGCCCAGCCAGGAGCTCAGTGGGGAGAATTTAGCAAGGGAACTGGTTACAA